TGCCCGGTATACCCTACACTATGTTTTTTTAAGATCAAGTGCCGCTGCCCTGTATACATTTGCCCGGTATTCCCTGCACTGATGTTTTTTTAAGGTCAAGTGCCACTGCCCGGTTTATACACGGAATTCTTTTCACGATCTCCCCCCCCCTCACGCTCATCCAACATGTACAGAATTGCTGGAACAGCGATCGATAATTGTCAACAGTACTGAGGTACGTACCTCTCTGCATAAAAAACGTTCTTTGAAGATAAAAAAAAATCAAATCTGACTGTCTTCTCTGTAAAGCCTAATAATCAATTCTTTCTTTTTTGATGACCCTATAGGGCAGTGTTTCCCAAACTTATGACTTTTGTGTACCCTTCCTAAATTTTTCGTAACGCTGCGTACCACTAATAAAAAAATGAATGTATTTTTTACTATAAAAAAATTGCACAAAAGTAAAAAATCACGACTGGCTGTTGATACCACTAATTATTAACTGTTAACTCTGCAAAACTAGCCAAAAGAAAAATACGCAATCGTAAATTTTCATGGCTAGCTTTGTTTTTAAATGAAATTTTCGTTTGTTGCAAGATATTTCGCATTAGAACGCGTACCCCCACCAAACTGTTTCCGTACCCCTGGGGGTACGCGTACCACACTTTGGGAAACACTGCTATAGGGTCATCATAATTATAATTAATTATAACTATAGTTAAGTTTTATTTTTGTTTCAGAAAATCCCGCCAAAATTTGACTTTTAATGTTAGCGCTAAAATAAGGCGATATTTTGCTAAGCTAAAGCTCTCACCACCAACGTTTTCCCTATATCGAGCTCATTTTCCCCTTTCTAAATTTTCTAAGTCCGTTTGCATTATGGAATCGTCCTGTCCCTAGTCGCTTGTTATTTTATCAGGTGCTAATAAACATGAATTGTGACGGCAGTCAAGCGAGCAACTGTTTAGTTTTTCTTTTTTGTAAATATGTAAAAAAAGTCAGTTTTAGTGTTCTATGAATTCTTTTTTTCGGATTTAAAAAGTTAAGTTTTAACGTTTGATTGTATTTCATTTATTCATTGAGCGTTATTAGGATTTTGCAGCTTCCGTTTTAGTAAATTTGATTAGATTTTACACCATTGGATCTTTACTACTGTAGGAATGTCATAAGTCTGTTCATCTTATTTTTAAAAGAGTTGCAACTGGTGACCCGAATATACTACTGATACTAATATAAAAAGTATTCACAAAAAACCTAGCATTTTCTAAAGTAAATGATGGAGGAAACCACATCATCTCTAACATCCGATGAAAAGAAAGAAGTATGTAAAGTTGGAGTTAAAATTCCCTCTTCTGGCCGGAAAAACCTGAGATTTGGTTTTATCAGGTAGAAGCGCAACTTTCTATCAGTGGAATTTCAGCAGAAGAAACTAAATTTAATTACCTGATCTCGCAGTTGGAGCCTAAATATGTAGAAACAATATGGGACATTATTATGGCCAAAAGTACCACTAAATACAGCAACGCAAAAGAGAAACTATTGAATATTTTCAAGGAAAGTGAAAACAAAAAGATCTAACGACTCGTATCTGGAATCGAGATTGGCGATATGAAATTATCATCAATTACTTCAAACGATGAAATCTCTAGCAACAGATGACATATCGGAAAAAGTATTGAAAATACTCTGGCTAGACAAGTTACCCGATGCAATTAAAAACATTTTAATTGTCAGTGAGGAAAGTCTTGAAAAACAAGCTGTAATGGCCGATAGAATCGCTGAAATTAATCCGAGACGGATATATACAGCATTAATCAAGCGTGTTCTACAGAAAATCTCATCGCCAAAATCTCTTCCCTTGAAGAACAGATAGCAAATTTGACAGTAAGAAAACCTCGCGATATGTATCGAAGTTACAATGGAATAAATTACAGAAGCAGAAGCCGTTCACGAGAGCGATATAACCCAACAGGTAAATATTGTTTTGATCATTTTCGGTTTGGTTTAAAATGCTTACCTGGTAAATGTCGCCAACCATGTTCTTATGATTCTGATGCGGAAAACAGGCAAAAGCAGTAGACTTAGCGGCAGATTCTGCTGCTGAGGAAATAAATGATTACCGTAAATTTCGATTGTTTGTTCGAGATAGGAATACAGGAATAAACTTCCTTATCGACAGTGGAGCCGATGTCAGTTTATTACCATTACCCGCCAATAAAAGTTACCATAGTGCAAGCGATTATAAACTATATGCAGCAAATGGATCCGAGATTACAATCTATGGAATCAAAATATTAACTGCTGACTTAGGACTTCGCCGCTCATTTAATTTCCCATTTATTATCGCCAAAATTAATAAAGGAATAATAGGTGCCGATTTTCTTAATAAGTTTAATTTATTAATTGACATTAAAGAAAAAAGATTGATTGATGGAGTAATCAATTTAATAGTTAAAGGGGAAATTTCTCCAATATGCATGACGGAAACAATTTCCACTATGTATAAAAATTCTAAGTTTTATGAATTATTCTCTTCATATCCAAATTTAACTAAGCCAAACTTATTAATTAGTGATGCTAAACATGAAATTCGATATTTTATCGCCACAACGGGAAAACCTGTGTTTTCTAAGGCGCGACGTTTAGATCCAAAAAAATTGAAAATAGCCAAAGAATTTCAATTCATGCTAGACAACAGGATTATTAGACCTTCAAAATCACCCTGGACAAGTCCTTTACATATGGTTAAAAAGAAGAATGGGTCTTACAAACCATGTGGAGATTATAGACTGCTAAACGACCAAACAATACCAGACCGATATCCAATACCAAGAATAGAAGATTTCCATCATATTTTAAAAGACACCAAAGTATTTTCTAAAATTGATTTATTTAAAGCTTATTATCAACTTCCTATAAATGAAGATGACAAACAAAAAACTGCAATAATTACTCCTTTCTCTCTGAATTCAATGTTATGAGTTTCGGACTCAGAAATGCACCTTCAACGTTTCAACGCTTCATAAATGAAGTTCTGTGTGGACTTGATTTCGTTTTTCCTTATCTAGACGATATATTAGTGGCATCTCCAAACGAAGAAGATCATCAATCTCATTTAAAACAACTTTTTATTAGATTAGACAAATATGGCCTCAGAATCAATATCTCCAAATCTGTCATTGATGTGGATAAATTGGAGTTTTTGGGTTATGAAATCAGTTCGGAAGGATCTAAGCCCCTTTTCCAAAAAGTAGAATAAATCCTTAATTACAAGTTGCCAGAAACTAAACGTGAACTGAGAACTTTTCTTGGTCTAATAAACTATTATGGACGATACAACAAAGACGCTGCTAAAACACAAACAATTGGGTATAATATGAAAAAAAAACAACTACTTCCACTTACTAGGAATAACATTTACCTTTTAGTTTAATTAATGAACTGAGTTTTAAATATGTTTACTAAATTCATAAACTTATGTAAAACAACAAAATAAATTATTTTCAAAGAAACTAGACTAATACAATTCCAACCTGGCGAGTAACGACTTATAACAAGACACTTCGTTTGATGCTTACTTGTTGCAAGAAATCAGGTTCGCAGAAAATGCTGTTTACTAGTTAAATTTAGTAGGAATAACACGATCTATAACGTAGGCTATAGTATACCCAATTCTCCACGGATATTTGAAAGGAGCTCATAAAAATGACAAAAAAAAATAATGTGGACTGAGCAAGCTATAAACATGTTTGAAAAATGCAAACAAGATTTATCCAATGTAGCCTTGCTAACATATCCGAAGTTTGAATTACCTCTATGCCTTCGCTCAGATGCTTCAAATTTCGCAATCGGATCAGTATTGGAACAATACGAAAATGGACCGATAGCTTCCTATTCAAAAAAATTAAATGATGCACAGAAAGGATATAGTACCTACGACAGGGAATTATTAGGGATATATCTTTCTGTAAAGCATTTCAAACATTTATTTGAAGGTCGAGAATTTACTATATTTACAGACATAAGCCACTGGTTTTTGCCTTCAAACAAAAAAATGAAAAAGCATCTCCAAGACAAAATGGACATCTTCAGTACATATCCCAGTTTTCGACTGACTTTCAACACATTATTGGCAAAAATAATATCATATATATAATTTGACCATATATTCCTAAAAATTGAAGAATGATTATTTTCAAACAGATGCATGGTTTATCTCATTCAGGAATCAGATCAACTATTAAACAGATAACGTCAAGATTTATTTGGCCTGGAATTCGAAAAGATGTTAGAATTTGGGCAAAATCCTGTATTGATTTCCAAAAAAACAAAATTTCAAAACATACTAAATCCCAGTTTGGAGAATATCAACTTCCCGATGAAAGATTTAATGAGATACATATTGGCATAATTGGGCCGTTACCCCCATCCAATGGAAACAGATACTGTTTCACTCGTATTGACCGTTTTACAAGCTGGATAGAAGTAGTTCCTATACCTGAAATCAAGGCTGAAACTGTCGCCAGATGTTTCTATGAAAACTGGATAATTAGATTTGGAGCGCCATACAGAGTAATTACCGATCGAGGATCACAGTTTGACTCTGAAACGTTTAAATCTCTTACAAACTTATGTGGAGTAAAAATCAACAGAACAACTGCATATCGTCCTCAGTGCAATGGCAAAATTGAGCGTCAACATCGTACATTGAAAACTACAATAAAGGCACACAAGTCTATTAAATGGTCTGAAACTCTTCCTACTGTCTTACTTGGTCTCAGAGCTGCTCTACGCGATGACACCAACTATTCAATATCGCAGATGGTTTATGGTAAATGCATTAAACTTTCTGGTGAATTTTTTGAAAACTCAAAAGTGGCAACATCCACAGAAAACTTTACATTAAAACCTTTAGAGTCAAAATGTTTCAAAAGGAACAAAGTATTTGTGCAGAAAGATTTAAATTCATGTTCACATGTTTTTATGCGGATTGATAGAATCAGGAAGCCATTAGAGTCTCCTAATCAAGGACTCTATAAAGTGATGGATAAGACTGAAAAGTATTTCGTAATTAGTTATAAAGGAAAAAAACGTAAGCATTTCAATAGACAGGCTTAAACCAGCGTTGAACTGAATTCTGAAAATGAGAATCCAGATTACGATGAAAACCTAAAAACTGCAAAACCTAACGAATGTTTAACATCGAATAAATTACAAGAAAATGCAGACAATCCCGTACAAAATCTTAAAATGTCTAGATTTGGCAGAAAAATAAAAAAAGCTTGTTCGCTTTTTAGAGCAAAACTGTATTAATTAGATACATATACATTTATTTTATATATTTTTTTATTGTATTGAAACTAGAATTTAGAATGGTATAATTTGTATATATGTCATATTAATATCTTGTACATATGTTTTTGCATTATGATGAGTTATTATGTAGTATAATTTTGAACTGTATATTATGTTATATTATCATTATATGACGAATTTGACATACTTGCCTTGCATCGTAACTTAGTTACTGGTGAGGGAGTATTGTAGGTATGTCATATGTCACATGTCTGTTCATCTTATTTTTAAAAGAGTTGCGAATGGCAACGAGAGAAAAAAACAGATAAAAAATAATAATAAAAATGGTTGTTCTGAAAAATGTCTTCTGATTATTTATCCTATATTCCTGTCGCGTACACTATATACATATACTTTATTAGCACTACTACTGCACTACAAGCACAAGTAAGCGAAAAATAATTAAAAACATTAAAAGATTATTATATTTATAATTATAATTTGTTTCACAAATTACAATTAATAAATTTTTTTTTAGAATTTGAAAGAACAGTGGTACGTAATGGAAGGAATAAGAATATCTGGAGTATCAGTAGTAATGTTTAAAAATGTTGAATGTTTCAATAGAGCACAATTTAAAATACATCTTACCAATCATGGGTGATATGGCAAAGCTTAATGGTGCGTACAAGATCGTTTTACAAACCATTGCCATGCTTCTTTTCTCTGGTTGCATGTATTCATGTATTAAGGTAATTTGTAAAATCAAGTTAGATCCAAAAAATAAAGGAAGCAAGAACTCCACAAACATCAGAAGTAAATAATTATTAATGTATAATAGACCAAGACAAGATAATCCAGTACACACACAGCATATTGAAGTAGTAGTAGGTGAAGGTAAAATTTGTTTGTCTATAACAAATCCAGATCCTATTCTTCCACATATATCTGCTAGAGCCAATATCATGACATAATAAACCTCAAGGTTGGCTCCAACATTTTTGTCGCGTACAAAATCAAGAATGATTGTAAACGTAACTGTTGTTATGTATATTGTGCCGGTAGACATAAGTAGTATGATAATGAAGGCTGGGTCTATGAAAATTTTAAAATTTTGAAGAGTAAAAGCTGATAATGGCTTAGCTTTTAGATTTTTATTTTCTACAGGGCGGTTAGATTTGTTTTCAGTCTCTTTATTGACGTCAAAATTCGCAGCTTCAGTGTCATTTGATGGAAATAACTTGTTATGTAAGTTTTGGCTTGCATTATTATCACCGGGACTTAGAAAAGACGGTGTTTTCTCAGTGTCTTTCATTTCAATACAACTAACTTTCATGTTAGCGTTTTGATTGTGAACTTTATTTAGTGAATTTTCTTTTGGTGATTTCAGTAACATAGAGAATGGTATAACATTTGCCACGATAGCAGATAAAATTAAGAATGATCCATTAAGTCCGTAGTACTCTATACATATTTCCATTATTAATGGCATCACTGCAGCTCCAAAACATCCTCCTGAATATGCAAAGCCATTAGCTTTACTTCGGTTTGTTGTGAAATGGGCATTAAGTAGTAGTGGCAAATACTGAATTCCAAGGCCAAGACAAATACCTAAAAGAAATAGATAAAATATTTATCTTTTTTACTGTATTAAATTTAAATTATATTGCAATAATATAAAATCTTAAAAGCATTATAAAATTTAACAAATTGTTCCAAATTCAAAATTTATTAATTTTAAAGGAACTAATGAATTAAGCTGATTTTCAACGGCCCTGAGTAATCGTCCAGTTTTTAAATTTTTTTTCAAGATCCAGATTACCGAAGAATTGATATTTTCATTCCAATTCTATTGAAAAGCACAACTGTAAGAAATAAGTCTAATGTTGATTAGTGCTTAACCAACATACAAGTTTGCGACAGTCTTTAAAGGTATTAAAATAAACAGTATTTTGACAATTTTGAACCATAGTATCGAGTTATCAAGTTTATGTAACATAATAATATGGTTCAACTTTGAGTCATATTATTTTTGCAGAAAATTTTTAAAAGTATGAGAAAGTAAGAAGATAAGCCTAATTCCGTTTCAGTGATCATCGCAATCTTCCTATCAGGAGAACTAACTTACCAAATATGAGACCCCATAAGATTGTTACTGTTAAAATGTCTTCTGCAAAGAAACAAGCACCAATGCTGATTACTGTTCCCACATTTGCGAAAACAATGATTGATTTCGTTTGGAAAAGTTGCTGTAAATATCCTTGAAGGGGACCTAAAAATAAAGTAGACAGTGAAAATATAATTTTTATTACCCAAAAAGTAATGCCTTTTTCTTTGTGGAACTTAAAATATTTAATTCAATCAGTATTTGATAAATAAATAAGCATACTAGAGCATGTTATAATATGATAATGAAATTACTAATACAATTACAATATCATCAAAACAAACGATTGTTATCTGATCCTGTTACATCTTGGTTTGGACTTGAAGTTATGGTCTACATTCATGGTAAGCTTAATAACAAGATCTACTGCATTAATTTGGATTGCAGTGTGCATTTCAAGTTGTGGAATTTTTACGGGTTGGACAAATGTTACTTTCACAACGGGTATGTTAGCTCATATCGAAAGGTTCACTATTGATTGGTATAATAACAATGGGATTAATCGAATGGACTGGCATGTCCTGAACCCAGACATATGAACCATATCGGGAAGCTTTGGGATGAGATGGATCACCGAATCAATCATCATTGATAAGGTTCATGTCCAAAATTGGTGAAATCACTTACATATCTTCTCCAAGTCGAGTGGAAGATAATATCACTAGCTGACACGCAGTGTTAAAAAAAGCGAATACCTTAAAAAATTTTGGATCTATTTGTCGGAATGCTACGTACTTGGGTCTTACTCTTAAGGGTTTGGAGGTCAAATATGATAATTTAGAAGTCCAAAAGATAACTTATAATAGAATAAAAAATCCAACCCCAAAATGCATTTTCTTTGAACTGTTTCGGGCTCTAGAACCTTAAAATTATGTGAACGGGGTTTCTACAATCTACAAAACATAGCTTTTATAGTTTGGACAGAAGAGCGGTCAAGAATTTGGATCTCTTGAGGAAAATTTTAATTTCTTAAAAAACATTTAATCGATTGACTCCTTTCAAATTTTAGATTTCGTCATTTAAAATTTCATGTACTATACTGGTGTAAAAATTTGTATACCATGTAATTCAAAATTTCTTCGACCAGTCGCAAATTAAATAATAAAAAATTAATTATGAAAAGTAACTACTTAGTAGAACCATTTTTTTATAAAAAAAAATGTATTATTGAATTAAATTTTCTGATTTGCTTCATTAGATCTGAATTTTTTTCGAAACACACAAAAAGTGAAATTAATAACAAGTTGCTCAAACTTTCGAGCGTTCTCCTGCCTAAAGTATTGTTATATTTTACAGACTGAAAATATGGTTACTTCCCAAATTTTATGATTTAGATAGTAGACAAAAATCATTCTATGTTGCAACAAATTTGCCCTTTTTGCCTACCCTTTAATTGCCTATCATGGAATTTGAACAAACTATTGTATACGAATAACTTATGCTTTTGTTTGCTATCACGTATGCCCAATATTTATAAGTATTAGTGTCTAGAGAAATGCTCCCAGAAAGTTAAATTTCTTAAAATCTTAGAATGACAATTGCTAGTTCAATGTTGTAATTTGAATAAACAATATAATTTCCTATGTTAATTTAAAATGTCTTATGCTTTAAATACGTACGAATTTTTCCGCTCATAAATTAATATTTTAATTTCTTTTCAAACAAATTGACAAGTCAGAATTCCCTATAAATAATCCAACATAATATATTTTTTTGAATATTCGTTTCTAATATTGATAAAAATGTGCAATGAATTCGAACATTTTTCTGGCTTTTAGATGAAACTATATGATTCTGTACATAAAAAAAGATGCCCGCTGCATATATCAAAACCAAAGAATTTTATTACGTGCCTTTTCTGTATAGAGAAAAGTAGGCAAGTTCCGTTCTCTCTGACATTTTGCTTGCTAATACATGTAAAGCCCTTGAATTTTGGAAAGGTAGCAAAGACTATTGTCACCTGAACTGTCGCCAAAGTCGACAAGATCGAAAAAATTGTCGGCAAGTTGGCGACGATCCTACCGTCAATGAAAAAGCATTTTCTTTGTCTATAAGTTAAAATCAGAAAAAACCGCCAAGCTAAAATCTAGGATTCAAGGAAAATGGTGAGAAGCTCTCAATTTTTTTTATAGATTCACAATTTTTCGTCTAAAATATCCAAAAAGCTTATGTTTTTAACAAAAAAATATTTTCCCTCCTGTAGCGTAGCAAGTAAATTTTTCAACTAGCTTGGCTTACTTTACGTACTTACCACAAAGATGTTTCATTACAAAAGGCAGAACATATGGAAGTGATGCTTGTTTTCGATTAATTTCAAATCAATGAATAGATTCCACGAAAAACAATGCAACCATTCTTACTGAAGCGCCATAGAGGAAATTTATCACAAAACAGGAAGTTAGAATTTCAATACTTGCGATAGTTTCCGGTTTCATGAAGATAGTTCAAATCTAATAATCAAAAGTAATAAGATCGAAAATGAAATGAAATAATTTTGTAATTTACATGCATCAATTAATATATACACGAAGAAGATTATATATATATATATATATATATATAAATATATATATACGTTACCGGCAAAATATGAAATTCGGCATTATATATATTACCTAAAAATAGCCGGGAAGTATGAAATGATTTATATTTTACACATTGCCTAAGCATTCTATATAATGCCGGATGCTATTTAGGCAGAGTATGAAATAAACGTCCTGATGAGGTTATTATGTAAATGATGTGCATGTTACTGTGAATGACCGAAATCGGTGGTTGTTGACAATCACATAGTCGCTTTGGTGAATGTCCGAAATATTTATTAAATTGATATTAATTCATTCGTGGATATAATTAAATTTATTCGATATTTTAATACTTACTGACTATAGATTAGAAGAAACATCAGTGTTTGGAGTATCAGGAAAATATATACCGGGCAATGATACTTGATTAAAAAAATATCAGTGTAGGCGTAGGGTATACTGGGCAAATGTATACCAGGCAGTGGCACTGAACCTTAGAAAAACATTAGTGTAGGATATACCGGGCAAATGTACACCGGGCAATGGCATTTGATCTTAAAAAACATCAGTGTAGGGTATACCTAACTAACATCCGGCATTATACATAATGCCTAGGCAAAGTATGAAATACTTTTCATATTTCGTCAGACATTATATATAATGCCGGCGTTTCATACTTTGCCAGCAACATATATAATGAAAAGTGCAAAGAGGTAAGAATATTTATTGTTAAAAAGCAGGCTGAGAAAAATGTATTGTGAAAACTACTAGATTATGGTAACATTTACCTTGTTTCTGGCTCTACTGCGGGTGTTGATAATGATTTTGGTAAAATTAACAACAAAAAAAAAATGTTTTATAATATGAGTTAAATTTTGAAAAATATAGTAAAATTTGGTCACTTTATCTAAGGAATTTTAGAAGTCAAACCTTCAAAAGTTTTATCAAGTCTATTATTCTTATATTTTAACATATATTTAGCTAATGATGAGCGTAGAATTTCACCATGTGTTTATTGTAAGCGATTTTTTGATCAGGCAAAAAATCATGTATTTTTTCAGTCAATCAGTAGCCAATTTAAAGAAAAATCTTCAGTAACGTGATTTTTATGCAGAAAAACTACATTTTTTACTGCCAGTTCTTATTACCTGGGCCACGTATTTGTCTTTTAAGGCCTGGTTTCTTAGCCTGTCGTCCTAAACGTCGGCGTCAGCTGGAAATCAGCGCTAACCTCTGATTGGTTTATTTGTGAGTTTGATAGTATACGTCATCGAACGCTTATCTTGAACTTCAATTGCCGTCCAACTCAACTGCAGTTGGATTACAGCGTGACGTTAACCACAGAAGCAATGGCGGACAACATCCTGTTGCACATTGAAATCAGCCAAGATTTTGATTTTGACATTAAACATAGCTTCTTCATTAAACATAGCACTCTTCATTTAGCTCAGCTATAATGTGTTTTTTCTTGGACAAAGTCATTATTTGTTCTCTAAAACACTGGTCGACAATAACAAAATCAATACAAATTCAAAATAAATATTTGTTTACGTTATTAACGCATGCGCAATGAGAGATAATGTCTGCGTTGGACCGACTGCTCACGCTGAGCTAACAAAAAAGTATTTTTTTGGCGTCAGATCTACGTCAACTTTCCGCTGACGCCCAGATAAGGCGTTAGTTCTAAGAAACCAGGCCTTGAGCTAACAAACCAGTATTTTGTTGGCGTCAGCGTGACGTTGACGTCCCGCTGACGCCCAGATAAGGCGCTTGTCCTAAGAAACCAGACCTTTACATAGATCAAAAAGAAGCTGAATTTTGTATGTTTTGATTAATATACTAAACACCATTATATTTATTAAAGCTGAAAACAACGTGAATAAGGTGCAAATAAGATACAGTAATAAACATATTATAGTTTCGGTTCTATAAATAAAAACCTTCCTAAGTGTCTAAACACCAAATGACAGTAGAGATGTGAAGTGCTAAACAAGTACGAAGTGGTTTAATAAACGAGAAGAGATGTGAAACAGGTGTGAGGGGATCATGAGAGAGAGAGGGTATAAAAATAAATTAGAATATATTTATACATTTGAAAACATTGGAAAAAGGTGGGATACTAGAAATATCATTAACTAAATTGTTAGGACTTACTGTTTAGTATTAATTTCATGTTTTTTTAATTTTTGACCTGTAGTGTCAAGCGAAAACTTTTGACAATATCCCTGTCACGCTGAAACACGACGCATAAGGTAAAAACAAAGAAAACTCCTCAAAATATTAAGAGCAGGAAAGTGATTAAGAATTTTTTTTAGATAGTTTAATTTTCTAAACCGAACAATTTTAATTCAGAATTCATTCAGCTGTAAGTAAATACTTAAAATTTATTTCGACATAATATTTAATTATAAAATTTTTAGACATTACATTACTCTTTATAAATTTTATTAACTCGAAAATTATATGTCATTGTAAAGGTATTAAAACCTATATGACAGTCGGCCAAACCACCCTCAAAAACGAAGGTTTAATCCAGCTCTTGCCTGCTTGAAAAATTATTTATAAAGAGTGTAGTTTCTTGATTAAGTAAAAGATAATATTGTAAACAGATTATAACACTCTAAGCTTTTAAATAATATCTATTTGAATTTTTATTATGTTACAAAAAAACATTGTTTGTAAAAAAAGGTCAAATTTTTCAAACTACCCCTTTATCATATAAGTAGTCGAAGAGTTGAAAGGAAACAAAATGAGTAAAAAATATATTTTCATCAAGTTTTTTACTCAGTCTTAAGACTATCGTATTATTGTTTTAATCAAGATTTAAATATTTTTGTTTTAATCTTTATTAGATTATAATTATCAAAAAGTAACTAATTACTTACTACAACCTTACTACGTTTAAAACAACAAGTTGTGAACATTCTAAATAATGTAATAAACATCTATATTTTTCAGACCACATTTTATTGCAATACATATTCTAAGTTAACAGCTCATTTTAGTTAAACTGTTGTTCAAAATGTTATATACAGTTATACAAAAAAGTATCCATTAATTGTAATTCTAAGAGAAAATTACATAGAAATTTTAAACGAAAGAAACAATAATTTTTTTAAAAAAAAATTTTTTAAAAAAATATATAATATTTTTATTAGAACAACCACACTGTAAAAAATTCTGGAACAAATTGTGGCATGAAGTAATGACTCTTTGTGGGCATCATCCATAAAATCCATTATTGACGTAAAATATTGTACCTTAATTATTAATAATATTTATTTAATTACGATGATTCAGCGATTTCAATTACTGTAAAAACTACGGTATATCAGATTTTTTGTTCCTGTATAGGTAAAAATTGATTTTACGGTAAAATTTACCGGCATTCTAAGTGCCGGTACTTTTTACCGTAATTTGATCCAAAGTTTTTAAGAAGTATTTTAATGAGATATTAAAAAAAAAGAACTCAAAAATAACTACAATCAAAGGCCATAAAAAATATTAAATTGTAATTTAATGCAGCAGTTAAATAAATGATAAAAGTATTTAATGAGATAAATATTAATAAAAGAATTGTATAGTTTTTTTAAATCAAGAAATTAATATAATGTGGAAATTCTTACCGTTTTTTTTCTTCAAATCCTGAGGATATAGATTGTTATAGAAGTTTTTCATTGGGATAATAGGTAACAAATGAAATATCCGCTGGTTTAAAATACCGAGTAATCTTTACAAACTAATCGAGATCAATGTTTAAGAAAAATTTGTCTAGTTTGCGTTTGCTTTCAAGATCGTGTCTTGTGTGAAGGTCAAAGTGGAGAATTTGTAAACAATATTTTCAATTTATTCGCCTTGTCAAATAAAGATGCAAAAATATGATAATCTTATGCACTTGAGATCAGGTTTTTGGAAGATATATGATGCTGACTTAAATAGAAAGAGAACTTTATTTGAATGAAATTAAATATTGCTATCATTAAAAAGAGACTAAATTTCAGTGTCTTGGGATATTCATCCACTTTTAGATGCACTTGATAATTTTTTTAAAAAATTTTTTCCGCACATGCGCTGTATAAAGCAACTACTTCAATTACTCTTATCTGGAGCAGTTTTTATTATTATTTTTTTAATTTTAAAGCAATAATTTCGATATCAGTTTAAAATTGATTCAAACGCTTTGTTTAATTTTTTCTTAAATATTTAAGCTATAGCAAAAGTGGCGCTAGACCTAGTATATATTTCGGACATTTACCAAAGGTCTACTCATACTAGGTTAATGGAGGTTAAATTTAACATTTCTCCTATTATAGAGAATAAATTTAATATTTTTCTTATTAATGGAGATTGAATTTAACATTTTTCCTATTAAGGGAGCTTGGATTTAACATTTCTTTTCCTTATGGAGATTAAATTTAATATGCCCTCTATGTTGCGTTTATAAGCTAAATAATGTTACAAAATTAATATTCCTCTAATTAATGGTGATTAAACTCCCACTAATAGAGATTAGATTCCCAAATAGAAAAAAATGAATTTTAATGTTTCCCCAGTTAAAGAGAAACATCTTTGAGACATTTTCGTTTGATTTCGTTTTTCTTTCAAAAACATTAGTTAAAACTTTTATTAAAGGCGGAAATGAAATGTTTATTGTAGAAATTTTTTATATTGGTAACTTCGATAGAAAATTCAGTATATATTATACTCATACGCTAATAGAAAGAATAAAACTTCATCTTTAAATGGCATTATCACATAATAGCACTTATAGCGCTTTCCGATCTTGCAACAAGTTCAACGTTCTTTTTGCTTCAAATCATACAGTATAAATATTTCTGAAGTAATTTCCGTTATACCGGTTTTCATATTTATGAAATTTTATAAATTTTAATTAATTAAATAATAAATAATGACCTTGGAAATTACATTTCACGCCAATAATACAATATTGACGCCTTGATCACTCTCTTTGTTTTAATTAATGCCATAAAAATTATTTATTTCAGTGTAAAAAATTCCGGATCAAATTACGATAGAAAGTACCGGTACTTTCGGTGCATCACCCGTAAAACCCATATTACCGTAAAATCCATTTTTTACCGTTAATTATTGTATTGTAATTTTTGCAATAATACTTATTTAATTAGAGTAATCCAGTAATTTCACGGAAATTACTACTGTAAAATTTATTGTATATGAGACTTTTTTTAATCCGGTCCATTGTTCCGGTAAAAATGCCGGTACTTTTTACTGGAATTTTTTACAGTGTAACAGAGCCCATAATTCGTGATTTTCTTCACTAAATAGTGCCTCAACCACGGTATCAAAAGTATTGAAATTGAGTTTGGCATATTAGGACGCGTCACAAGAAAAATAGGACGTATATGAAGTGCAACACTTTGGGATAAGAGAAAGAGTGGGACTTAAGAATATTGAGAAAAAGTGTGACATAACGGGACAAGTCACAAAATAGATAAGAGGTTTAAAGTACAAAACTTTGGGACAAGGAGAAAGTGGGAAGTATATGTTCATGTAATATAACAGGACATGTCACAAGAAAGATAGATGATATAGTGAAAAATTCAACACTTTGGGATAAGAGTAAGAGTCAAAAGTATTGAAAAAAAGTTTGACATATTAGGCCGTGTCACAAGAAAGATAGATGGTCAAGTGAAGTGCAACACTTTAGGACAAGAGGAAAAGTGGAAGTCAAGAATATTGAAAAAAGTTTGACATCATTTATGGACATTGAGTAATCAAAAGTCTCTTTATAGCTTTCTTTGAAGAACAGCTAAAAATTTCTATACGAAGAAGAAATTTAAAAATAGGATAAAAAAATTAAGACATGATAAAAAAATTTACTAGCATGATATATTTATTCAATAAATTTATGTTATTTTAACAAATAATGAAATTTGCGTTGCACAAAATGTTTACACTTGATTCAACACATTTTACATGAATTTACGATACAATGTCTGATGCTGTTCGTCTTCTTTTTGCCAAATAAGGTATTGAAAGTGAAATAAATCCACAGAAAAAAGAAAAACCCATTAGAGAAAAAACGACACCATCATAAGACCCATTGTCTCCTCTAAAATAACCTAAAAACAAATTTTTTATTACAGAATTATTCATTACAACATTACTTGAAAATTTAAAAAAAAAGGTTTTTTTTTTATCATAGCATTATTCTTAAAATAATATCTTTGGTAGGTTGAGACAAAAAAAAATCTATTTTTTCCGCCATAAACTGAAGAAAATGGCCATTGGTGATTATTTGTAAATCTGGAAAAATTTGGCAAGTACTGGTTAATAACTGTAAAGTTTGCTGCTATCAGAAAATTATATTTTTATTTTCCTCCTAAATGTCATGTTTTATTATGAAATTTTATGGAGTAAAATGTTATGAATTAGTTTTACTGTGTTCTGACAGGATTTATTTATGCATTAAGGATATAATCATGCATCACTCATATCACTGGAATTTTTTGGGGCGTGGAAGGGCTGGAGAACTATAACCTAAACAATTTTTACTTTAGTACCTTTACTGCTACCTAAAGCAAATTTTATCAGCTATCAAAAGTTCGATGCTTAAATCTTGTTTTTTACCCTGTCCACTTTAATGTTTTTTTTCACCCATTCTTAAGGATTAGGTTATATTTAAACATCCAAAGAATAATGCCAATGTTTTTCAAAAGTAATCTAATCGAATTAAAACCCAGATAGCAGTTCAGAAGATTGATTTTAATATAAGCAACAACCTTTATCACAAAGCCCAACAAAATTTATGAATGATTTGTAAATAAACCATGCAATTTTGAAACACTGTTAAGCTTAACTATGGTAGTTCGCATTAAGCTTGCATAAACTACCCTTTTATATTGTCTTCACTAAACAAGGCTAGAATTACTTTCTGAAATCGAGAATAAATCATCATTCGTAAATCAAGAGTAGAAATCGTTCTCAAACCAATGATAAATTCAGTTTCTTAAGATTTATATTATATTTTAAGACTATCGCTGAAACATGGTTTATTTGTGCAGGTTAACTTTCTTTAATTCTTTGAAAATGAAGGTTGGCCTGAACATTAAGTTTTCAACAAAAACACAATGTAAAACATAAGAGAGCTTGGACAAATCTAGAATGAAAAGAAGGCCAAAATAAAGTTTACAGTAAGAGCTAAAAAATGAGATTTCTTTGTAAAGATCTCGCATGCCTTTATTTAATTTTTAAGGAAACAAGCTATATATACTCAGAAATATTTCTACTTAGTATTACTTAGTAATAACAATATTTCTACTCAGAAAATTTATTTTCATTCAAATATTTCTGCTCAGCTTATAAAGGATTAATTAGTCAACTTTTCTATACTAGTTAAATGAAAATGAAATTACAACGTTTACCGTTGCATGATGTCTGGGAAATAACTTAAAATTTCTTGGAATCCAGTTAAATAAATTTTTACCTGTGATTTTAAACTGTAACGGATATTTTAAAGTACAATATAGACAAGTACGTCGAAATATTATTGCATCGCTGCGAAAAAGTCACTTTTATTAGGATTCCAAGACTTTTTTAACAAAGAGAAACAATTTTAGAGCTTAGAAATTCTATATATCTTACCGATTATTGGAGATATAGTCAAACTCAAAGGTGAATACAGCACAAATCTGGAGACCATTGCCATAACTCTTCTCTCTGGCTGTATGAATTCATGGATCAAAGCGATTTGCAAAATCAATGTAAATCCATAAAATACAGGTAAAAGGAATTCGATAAACATCAGGAGTAGGTAATTATAAGCAAACACTAAACCAAGTAAAGTCAACCCAGAGCACATAAAACTAATTGACGTCATCAAAAATGTTGGTAAATAGTTTTTGTCAATAGCAAATCCAGAAGCTGTTCTCCCAAATATGTCCGCGATCGCCATTATCATGACATAATAAATTTCCAAATTTACACCAATGCCTTTATCTCGAACAAAATCCAGAATTATCGTCCACATAGTTGTTGTTATAAGTGTGGTCCCGGCAGTTATAATTAACATTACTATAAATGTTGGATCGATAAAAAGTTTAAAATTTTTGAGTGAAAAAGTCAAAGGTGGCTCTTTCTTCATATTTTCTCTTAATGTATGATTTTTTGTTTTTGTTGAAGCACACGTTTTGACGTCAAATTTATCATCGGGTTCAAATAATGTTTCTGTTGCCGTGTCGTTAGCATGAGCAGAACTGTTATTGCCATTGTTTTTATCGCAAGGATGTATCGAAGGAAACATTGCTTTCTTATCATCTTTCATTCCAATACGCTTCTCTTCGTCTTTCCCCTTCAAAATTACAGATTTCGAATTTTCTTTTCTGGATTTCAAAAGAAATGTAAATGGAATTAAATGCCCCATTATACCAGCTAAAACTAAGAAAGATCCATTCAGGCCATAGTATTCTATGCATGCATCCATTATTGGTGGCAGCATTATTCCTCCGAAACAAGCTCCTGCATATGCAAAGCCGTTTGCTTTGCTTCGGTTTACTGTGAAATGGTCATTAAGTAATGATGGCAGAAACTGCGTTCCAAGAGCGAAACATACACCTAAAAAAATATATAAAAAATGTTAACTGAGGTATGTAAATGGTGATAAAAATAAATCTTATACGCAGGACAATTGCCAAGGACTGACAACAAATGGTTCCATAGCGCATAAAAAATTAAGCGTGGTTAAAGGACAAGTGAAATAAAAGAATACCAGACAGTTAGGCCATTAAAAAAAGATAATTTATTGTGCTCTGAGGAAAATTTTGAACAGCCTATGTAAGGGATTATTTAATATTTCTTATAATTATTAAGCAAATTATTCTGTTATGTTCTACTTATTCTTTGCTGTTCTACTCCTATGCAATAACTAATGTTTGTGGCTTGTGATAACACTTAGCATAAATCATTACATAGTTTGCCTAAATCCTGCCTCATGTGCAGTCCCAAGTCAAAATTTGAGATGGTTTGTCATTGATGAACTAACATAATCTTGATGGTGACCATCAATTATTCCATCATGGATCATTATATTTTTTTTTGATGATAACCAATATAAGTAACCATCACCCCAATGTGGGCATTCGGACTGATTTATGATGATCCGACATAAGAAACATTTAAATTGTTTTGATGGTATATTCCTGAGAACCACCAATAATTCCCATTAAACCATCATGGAAATGTATAATTGGAACCATCATGAATAGTTGGTTCATGAGGATCAAACTTCTCTTGATGGTTAACCATCAAAGTATTGAAGTAGCATTTTACATAATAGAATGATGGAAGCATATCAAAAACGCAAAACGGAAAATGTTGGATAATGGTGACGTTGGACCATCATCAATTATCCTGAAACTAACATAAACCATCAAAATTTTTCTATGGGACCATCAAGAAGTTTGATTTAGGGACCTAAATAGTATGATATTATTTAGGAGCAACGTATCTACTGAAGAGGTCGTTTTTCAAAGCCTCTTACTACTACAGCCATACTGTCGAAAAGTGACTGAGATCGATTTCTGAAGAAATTTTCACTAAGACCGAATTTTTCATCTCGTGAGGGGTTATAATAAGACTGCACTAATTGATAACTTTGTTTAAGAGGATTTAACTTTTCTAGTGGTCATATCTTTAAGCAAGTTGACCTTTCCATCTCAAACTATACGTGAATCAATACGGAAAGAAACGAAACTTTTTCAGTAAATTCATCGAGATTCATTGATCGTACTATGAAACTTAATTTCAACGTTCTCAGAAGAGAAAATGTAAAGAAAAACATCTAAATTGATGGCTTGGTTAGTTAAGTAATGATCTAGTAATTATTAGTTAGTAATGTGATTTGATAGACCCGATCTGTCCCATCACGTTCTTCGTTTAAATCCACCATCATACGATTTCTGAAGCCCTAAGAAGAAGAAAATTGGTTATAGAACAATCTCAAAAAGTTAAACTAAGAAGCACTTCAAAGTCAATCTTGAACTTAGTAGCGCCATGCAACATCATGTTCCGATAACATTTTATAAGCTTTTAATATTGTTACTATACTTGTAATATTTAATGATTGATTTCTTATTATACCTGGATATTTCACGGTCTACTAATTCATTTAATCGTAAATACTAAACATTTTTGAAGTTGGTACGATTAAGGGAGCAAGTTGTACGAATTAAGCAACCGGTACCTAAATCACATCACTTGCTGACTATGGGAAAACAATTTTTAGTACTTACTGCTAAAATGTTATTATCAAAAAATAAATAAATTTTGATTATCTGTATTTCATGATTAATATATTTAAAATTTGATTGTCAGTGATTTGTGACTGATTAATATTAAAACGTTAAAAGTAATAAGATTGAGGCAACTTTCCTCTTTATGTTTGATAGACACGAAACTGTATTAAACTGACTTTAAGGCATGACTTGGATCCTTTCTGCCTTTTCGTAATTTGAATATCTTTTTTCTACATTGCTTACATCATAGTTTGAAGTCTTTAAATTTATCGGATCAATTAATGTCTTTTTAGAACAATGGGATGCTAAACAAATTTTTCCATAAAAAACACTGGGTAAGTTTATAAAGTTAATAATTTTTTTTAATATATTGGATATTTGTTTGTGTTTTTCAAATTAGAATTTTGTGCAGTTGTTTTTGGCAGCAAAATTAGGTGTTATTAAATCATAAATTGTTAATTGTGTGGTAGTACTATTTTGTGTTTAAGAAGTAATATTTCTTCATATATTCAACCTTTTTACCTAAAATAGACTTATGTTTATTGAGTTAAAACACTTATATTTTAAAAATGGGTTAATTATTTTATTGCTCAATTTGTTTATTTTATTATTCTACGTTATTTACGTAATAATGCTTATTATCACTTTTTTCTAAATTTGATATAATAATAATATAACTTACCAAATATAATACCCCATAGAATTGTAACCGTTAAAATGTTATCAGCAAAGAAACAAGCTGCAATGCTGATTGTGGCCAGCACATTTCCAAAAATAACCAGAGTTTTAATTTCGAAAATTTGTTGGAGATAGCCAAGAACGGGACCTGGAAAAATGTTCATTTTTTAAATTTTTTTAAAATTTATTTTAAAAGAAGTTTATTTATTTAAAAAAAATTGTTTATTTATTTAAAATAAATATATAGTATTTTACACATTAAATATTCTGATGTAATCATGGATTCCCTTGACATTATGTGTGATACTCTATATCAAGTCCAAACAAAATATCACAAGATTGTTAATTTTGTCCCCCAGGTATATAAAAATATTATTTATTTATTTATTTTTTTAAAAGCTAAAATTCCCCCAAAATCATTCTTTTGGTCTGTTTAAAACTTTTCTTAAACTCATTTCGTTTATTTAAAATGCTTACACCTACAATTCAGTATATAAAAAAAACTACATATATTTGAAGGCGCAAAATAAAATTTTTTGAATCCGTTAAATTATTTAACTCACCAAGGTATATTGTTTGAAAGTTTGTCCCAAGGTTTTCATTTCAGTCTCCTGATCTACGAAATTATTGTAAGAAAAAAATAGACTATTCTTGTAGGACAAAAATGGAGAGTTTTCAGTCCTGCGTCTGCAACAGAGTTTATTCCAACCATTCTGTTGGATTGATTGAGATCTGATTCCTCTGAAATTCTTATTATAACTTTGAAGTTCTAAATAGAGGTGTTGTAATAGCTTCTGCTGTCAATCTCCTCTACTATAGTTTTATTATACATAAAAACATTTTTTAAAAATTAATACATATTATCACGAGTAATTATGTGATAATTCTAAAGAGAATAAATTTCTTAAGCTTTCTTCTAAGAGAAGAACTTTTTTTCCTTATATAAAAAATTATCATATTCTGGCATGCAAAAATGTCACCCTCTTGGCATTTTCTGGACTAAATGATTGGCTTGACAACCGGCAAGTGAGTTACTTTTATTTATCTCTTGTTAAGTACCTTATAAAGAGTAAATTTGCTTTAGATTTTTAAAGAATTTTTAGTTTTTAAGTAATTGTGTTTCGAAAATGTCAAGTTCTTGGAGAATCACTCATATGATATAAACATAGATTTATTAAACTGCTGTAAACTATATTGTTAATTTTTAAGAGGAATTAGTTATGAAGTGAGTTTTATAAATGAGTTTAATAGCAAGCGTAGCGAGCATGGTTTGCAAAACAAACGATATAACATTGCATATCAATCTTCGAGAGTTGGTGAACGTTAGTGAGCAGGGGGTGGAGCCAACTAGTTTTATTTTCTAATTTTTTTTCAAATTTTGCTTTCTAACTTTTCTATTCCAATTTTCTACATATTAGATTCAATGCAATGAACTTCAAAAATATACCGAAAAAAAAGTTATAAATTGTTTTGGAAAGTTTGTTTACCACAAAATTTGTATACTTACCACAAAGACTCCTTACCATGTAAACCAAAATGTAAGGGAGAGACGCATGTTTTCGACTAATTTCATATCGGTAAATGGATTCTACAAAAAATACTGATCCCAATCTGCCTGCGCCGCCATATAGAAAATTTATTACAAAGCAGGCTGTTACGATTTTAATACTTGCAATAGTTCCTGATTTCATGAGGATAATTTAAATCTAAAAGGATAACAATAAAAAAACATAAGTTATGAAATATTTTAAAATAATTGTGAGCTTGTGTAAGTTTTGAGACAAATGCACGAGATTTATTTTCACTTTATTTTTTGCAAAATTTTAGAGGAATCAATAAATAGTCCACTTAACTGAAATTTAATATTTCTAAAAACAAAATCAGTTTAGTCTTTAGTTAGGGGGTTGTAACTTCTTGTTCGATTTGTTTATCGACTTTATTACTAAGCAAATTATGTTCTCTCCACTAAAGTTTCATTAAAAAAAACAATAGCAAGTTATTAGTGAGATTTCGAAGTTTTACGAATCATTCTACTCTATGTAAATATAAATTGCGCACGTTCTCCCGAGGTACACTTACCAGTAACAGAGAAGTGCGCTATTAAATAAGAAGTCCTTTTATTAGAAGTGCGCTATCGTAATGTTGTTAAAGACAACAATAAATTAATTCAAATTATGTAACAAGGAAATTATGTAAGATTAAAAGCATTATTGATTATGAGAAAGTACTGTTAAGGAATTACTGTTAAAGTAATAAACTGCTACTATAAATTAGTTAAAATTTGAAACCAGGAAAATTATAAAAATCAAAGCAATGTGTACAACAATATTAAACAGGAAGAAGCATGTAGAATACCGTAAATGATTTTAAAATACAACAGTAAATTAATTAAAAGTATGTAACCAAGGAAATTACACAACATATAAAACAATATTAACTAGAATTAAGTCTAAAGAATGCTGTTAATGTTATTAAATGTAACAATAAATTAATTAAAATCACGTCACCAAGGAAACTATTCAATATCAAAATAATATGCAAAAAAATTTAGAATTAGAGAGATGTCCATAAAATACTGTAAATGTTATTATGAAACAGTAAATGAATTAAAAGTATGTAACCAAGGAAAGTATACAGTATCGAAAACAATACACAAATAATTAACTTAAAAGAAGTTTATGAAATATTGTTAATGGAATTAAAGTAAGTAATCGAAGAAATTATACAATATGAAAAACATCAACAAAAAACTTTATTAATTAAGAAGAAGGCTATAGAATACTGTTAATGTTATTAAAAGGCAACAGTAAAGTAATTATGTAATAATTTAAAAACTAAAATACGAGAAACTTATCAAAATAATAAAACCTACCGGTTTTTCAACTATCCAAAATAAGTATCTTTATTGTTGTCTTTTCATATTTGGAGAAAATGGTTTAAGAAGCACGTGGAAAACGTTTTAAGTTAATCACACAATGATCAAAAAATATGAAAAAATGAATAAATAAAAACAAATTAAAAGGATGCCTTTTGACCTTAAGAACGAAGATGTGCTTTTATTACGCAGATAATGGGAAAACATACTTATACAACATATTTGTGGTATGTTATGAGTAATGGAGCATGATATTCGTTTTCGAGCAATAAAGAACCCTTTTTCCTTAGTTAAAATGTGATTGATCGAGAAAAAATTAAAGGTGAAAATGAAATGTCATTTACTGCATATTAGAGATTGCAAGAAATTGTTGATCTTTTTGTCGATATCCTCAAAATTAAAATTCGTTTCACATATATGGGAAGATCTCTAAAACCTTTAACTTTAGATAATAAAAAAAATAATAGGCACACTATTTTTACACCTCCAGAATTGTTTGAAAATGTATAAAATATTAGAAAATAATCGTGAACCTCGAAAATTTTGATGCCCTTATAAGTATAAACAAAAAATTAAAATTTTTGAACTAATTTTTCTAGGTTCATAAACAATTCGTTAAAAATCATAAAAACGACAAAAGTATAGTTTATTTAATAAACATATAAACTTATTGAACCTATTTTTCTTTTATTGAGCAATTTTTTCTTTTTAATAATTTCATCCATATTTACCCTTTATTTATCAAAAACGGTATCAAAATCTATCCAATTATTTGCTTGACTAATCATTGTTAAATCGGAACTAAAATAATTAAAAAAAATTTTTAAAAATTTTGTCAGATGATTCCAAAAAGGAATTTTGATAGAAAGGGATTTTGTAAATTCATGCAGGTTTGCTTAACAAGGCAAAATAAATTTAATGTTTTCATTACAATGTATGCTATGATTTATCTCGATAATGTTTCACCATAATTTGATCACATTTTTTGTCATGTCTTGCTCAAGGCTGTAATTTTGTATCAACATTAATATATCCTGCACACGATTTGTGGTGTAGAAGTTTTGTACATGATGAAGGCATAAAGAAATGGAGAGAACTCATTAGAATCCTATCTTGCACATGGTTTTTGGTACTGAAATCTCTCACACATGATGGTATAGAGAGGATTCATAGGAACCCATCTTGATCACGGTTTGTGGCACGGAAGTTTCTAACTGATGAAGGTATTGAGTATTCCCGCCTATGTACTTTGGCTTTTTCAGCCTCGGTAAGTTTAGGCCTTGACATGGTTTTTTTTTTTTTTTTTTTTTTATTTTTTTTTTAGCTTCAACTTTAACTTTTGGGACCGTTTCAATCAGTTCAAACCCTCTTTATTTGAGATATTCACCTGAATTAGTATTGAAAACGATCCAGTTTGAACTGTAGGTTAGAATTTCTGATTCTTAATTAAAACAAAAAACTCTCTCTCTGTGCCCATATCTCAAAAATAAACTTACCAACTTACTGCATAACAAAATTAAAAGTGATAAAAGAATTATAAAAAACGAAATAGTGCTTGGAGTCCCTCCACGCGGAAGAAGTTAAACTTCGCAACCTACGACGTTAATAGTAGAAGAATCAGCAGTCGTAGAAGGATCACTAGTTCTATTCAACGACTCTTTTTCCTGCTCCACTCGCTTCCGTGCTCTGTAATCACGGTAATATTGTGCATTTTCCCCTCGTGGACCTCTTGAACCAGTGGAAGTGCTTGTGGTTGCCTCATCGTCTCTCCATGGAAAATGTATTAGCATTAATAATGTATGTGAATGCGTCATAATGTAATTTCAGAAGAGAAACAATCAATTGATATTCACAAGAGACGTACCTTGACATAACCCTAAATCCGTCGCATTGTCGGTGTGATTGTTTTCACTCATTTTTTACAATTGTTATCCACTAAATTTGAAAATAAAAAATACTACCCTATTATTAATTATATGTGTATCAAAACAAACTAAAAAAATATTTATGGAAAAACAATACTTTTATTATTTTTATGCTAGTGAGAACCAAAACAATATGGAAATGAATGAGGGGAAACTGGATCTTACCACGTGATTTCCCGGCCAATAAAAATGTATCGTTAAACGTTTAACGCAGCCTTGTTGGAAGTCGCATAAGAAGTATAACTTCAAAAATTATCAAACAGCAGCTGTCGCCATAGCAACGCATGTGCACTGTTTACTATTATTCTTGATTATTGTAGTTGAAAAGCAAAGACGCCATGAAATCCAAACGAAGACCTATTTTGCCAATGGGTAATAATTTAGAAGTTTTGTAGAAAATACACTGCATGGTTATTTTTTTAACTATTCTCTTCGAGAATCTGTTAGTTGATTAAAGTTGAATGCATAAAACTAATTTTTAATAAAGCTTACACGTAGACTGTATTAGCTAAAATAAATCTGATTGATAATAAATATAAAAAGTAATATTTTTTTTAGAATTTTTTAAAAATCTTAAAACTTTTCTCTTGTTGTAAGTGCGAAAGTAGACAGGCATATGAATGTTTGCTATTTGGCTCTCTGAAGCACCTGTTGCTCAGATGTTTTTGCGCATTGATCTAAAGTAGAATATTGACACTGTTCCAAGATACAACAACCATCTTTGATTCTGTCAGGCAAATAATTAAAAAAAATTAAAAATTAAAACAAAAAATTATATTTCTTTCTTTAAAAAATAGTATTTTTTTAGAGAGCGGAATTTTACTATTTGTCTGCTTCAGTTTTAATTTCAAATGTAAGTAGTATAGTATTTTATTTACCAATGATGTTGGTTAAAAATAGCGCAAGAAAATCAAAAACAGTTTATTAGAACATTCTTGGGAAGCTTGAGACACTTTCACATCAGAAAATAGCTGTTTGTAACGGGTACCAACTACATTCACTGGTTGCAGAATTTCTCCCCTAGATGGCGCAAATAACTTCATTGGTCTGAGGTTCATGCGATCCAAGATATAATACTATCATCTATTGATTTTATAAGGGTTCTTTAACATAACACAAGGATATATGCTATTTAAATAGGTATAATTAATTTAGAGTGAGCAAAAATCAAACATTATACCCTAAACTATTGGGGACACGCTTTTATAGATTACGGCTGCACTTTCTCTATATTTTGAGGTCAGTGTTATTTATATTTGACAGCTCATGAAAGACTTAGCCCTGACTTAATCATATTCTATGTCGGTACCAATTTAGTATTTGAATAAATAATATTATTAAGTCAGAAGGTAGGGTAAACCAACCAGTGAAGGAACATTTCATATACTATATTGATTAAAAGTAAGAATTTGAAAGTTTTTCTTTAGATTGATTAGTAACAATAGCTTACTGCCAAACAATAGGAAGTCATCTAGCAATGTTTTGGATTACCTGGTCAAATAGACTTCTCTGGAAAAATTTTTGAATTTGTTATTATCTCTGCAACACCTTGTTTCTTTGAAAAAATTATAAGGTGAGTGTTTGTATTTATATGTTTGAAGTGGAATTAATTGCATGTAATAGTTTTATTTTTCTCACTATGAAAAAGAGAATTCAAAATATAGTTTTTGAAGTTACGTTTTATTTTTTTAAGCATCATAGCATAATAAAGTACTGAGATAAGGGGGTGTTATTCACTGGATCACCAAACGATGAAAAACCAGTGAAGGAACAAGTGTTCCTTTACTGTTTTTTTTTCTAAGTTAATGAAAATAAAAGATAAACTTTTATTTTCTTGTACCTTTAGTGATGTTCAGCATCAAAAGCATGTTAAAAATACGAAAAACAACTTCTAACCAGTGAGGGAACAGACATGTTCCTTTACTGGGCATAGATTTCCCAGTGAATGAACAATATGTGTTAATATGTTAACAATTCATGATTACAAAAAAAAGTTAACATTTTCCAAGTATTTATATGTTATAATTTCAAGAATAGGCTTGTTTTTAAATATATGTATGGCTTATAAATTAATAAAGAGCATTAAAAAATAATCAAAATTAAGTGTTCTTTTACTGGGTGTTCATTCACTGGTAAGAGCTGTTCCTTCGCTTTGTCTTCTTACTACTTGTTATTTGAACCTCCAAAACTTTAAAGCAATATTATGTAATTTATCTACAATTTTTTTTTACATAATTTGCAATTAGTAACAAATATGTTGACACTGTCATTTAACTGAAATTACGAATTTTGAAATTAATATGATTTTTTAAAAGGCAAGCGAAGCTTAAGTGTTCATTCACTGGTTAGTTTACCCTATTTAGATAGTTTTTTTCTGAACAGTTCATTTTGTAATGAGCATTTACTCAGTAGATAGAATTGAGATTGTTATTTAATACATATTACTTACAAATAATGAAAGAATATGATAATTGCAGATAATATATACAGACAGAATATCAACAAATTACTCGTAGCATTTTTCATGATTTTATGTCATATTGTCAGGTGTTGTTTTATTTCTTCTTTCTGCCAAATGAGGAACGAAGTATATGATGAGTCCACAGAAAAAGGAAATACCCGTTAGAGTGTAAATAACGCCATCATAAGATCCATGCTCTCCTCTGAAATAACCTAAAAATAAAATGTTTTATATTAAAGCAACTTATACACGCATTATTATACACGTAACTTTAAAAAATAAGATTCATAGAGAGGCAACTAGAGTGGACAATAGAATAGACAACTAGAATAGAACTAGAAATACAAGAGGAAACTAGAATAATAATTAAGAGATAGAGTACTCGCTTTAGGCATCAACAATCCAAATTCGAGAAAGGCGCACCATTTAAAAAAAGGTTATCTGATTTATATTAATGTAATTAAAATTAAAGCAAAAAATTATAATAATAAAGAGTTAATATTTTAATTGAATAATTATAGCTAAAGATAGCTTCCTTTAGGTATGAGAAAGCTACGTTCGATGCAGCAGCATTTCTCAGAAAATCATATCTGATTGAGTAAAATGCAAAAATAGAAATTTTAATGATTACTGATAAAAAAATTTTTTTTGAGTGTGTATTTTTAACAAAAAAATTTCAAAAGATTATTTGTGGATTTAGTTTTGTTTTATTATTTTTTTCAATTTCAATTATTTTTTAGTTTTAAATTTTTTAAATTGTAATTAATTCTTTAGATATTTAAGGAGTTTTTTTTTATCGAATAATTAATTTTCAAGTCCTTTTACTTTATATTTTTTTCATTAATATTTTTAATTTTAAATAATGTTTTTAATTTTGGTGGAGTTTTTAATTTTGATTATTTTTCTTTAATTTGTAATTTAAACGCTAACTTTAGTTACTGTTTTAGTTTGAAATAATTTTTAACTTCAATAAATTTTTTTTATTTCAAAATAATATAATATTAATTATTTTAAAATTTAATCATTTAAAGTTTAAATTTTTTGCAACTAAATCCGGGTGAAAGTGAATTATGCTTCAGATAAATTACACTTTAGAGGAAGTCTGTAAATTAAGTTTAATATAGTTTAAATTACATTTATTTTCTTAACAATACTTTAAGGTTTAATAATTGTTAGAAACACGTTAAATTTTTAATTGCATTTCCGGGATCAACAGTGAAAAATTCCTTACTATATGCTACACTTTTGCACATTTTTTTTCTTAATTTCCTTTCTTTCTTTCTTTAATTCTATAGTTGCATCATAATTTCATAGGTGCCTTTCTATAATTCCATAGGTAAATACAAGTTTCTAGCACAAACATCTTTCAAAATTTAAAACTAATTTTATACGACTTTCCTTATTCGATATGACTAACTGTAATCTTATAATGTTTCGTCAATATGGATGAAAATAATAATTTTCATTTTTGTTGCTTAGAAAAATCAACCATAAACTATTAAAATGGAAAATATAAAGCTTAAGAAATTAATCAACCTTACCAATCATAGGAGATATTGTTAAACTTAATGGTGCAAACAACATGGCTCTGCAAACCATTGCCATAGTTCTTTTCTCCGGCTGTATAAATTCATGGATCAAAGCGATTTGTAAAATGAGTATTGATCCATAAAATATGGGAAACAGGAACTCGATGAACATAAGGAGTAAGTAATTATACGTGAATAATAAACCAAGTAAAGTTAATCCAGTACAAAGGCAACAAATTAAAGTAATCACAGATGTAGGTAAGAATTTTTTATCAATAACAAATCCCGAACCTATCCTCCCGAATATGTCAGCTAATGGTATAATCATGACATAATAGATTTCTAGATTTACACCAACTCCTTTATCACGTACAAAATCAAGAATTATAGTCCACATTGTTGTTATCACTAGTGTAGTACCACCAGTCATAATAAACATGATAAGAAAGGATGGATCGATGAAAATTTTGAAATTTTTAAGAGTAAAAATAGAAGGAGGCTTCTTTTTCACGTTTTCAGTCGCTTTTTGATTTGCTGCTTCTGTTTGAGAACACGCGTTGGTGACTAATTTTTGATCTAGTTCAGTTGCTTCTTCTTCAGTGTTATTGGTTTGTGATTTTTCACCTACATTTTTGAGAGCAGGCATTAGTAGAGGCAAAACTGCTTTCTTATCTTCTTTCATTTCAATAGATTCCTCTTTATTTTTTCTGTTTCGAATTTCACATTTTGATTTTTCCTCGCTAGATTTCAGTAAAAAGGAGAATGGAATTAAATGCGCCATTATACCAGCTAAAACTAAAAAAGATCCATTGAGACCATAATGCTCAATGCAGGCTTCCATTATAGGTGGCATCATTACTCCTCCGAAACATGCCCCCGAATATGCAAATCCATTAGCTTTGCTTCGGTTTGTCGTGAAATGGGCATTAAGCATCGATGGCAAGTACTGCGTTCCTAATCCAAAACAATAACCTAAAATAAAGAAAATAGAAAACTCAGATATTAATAAGGTTATATGATACGTTATCGTAAAATTAACATAGCTTAGTAATTTAGTAAAAGTTTACTTGCTTGCTTCTTTGTACTATTTTGAATCTTTTAATAGATTAAATACGACCCATACTAAAATCTTTTTCTTGAATTAAATTTTGATTTGAAATAGTTTTTGTCGTCATTAAAATGCGAATTACGTATTTGAGATGCAATGTCAGAGAGCGATTTAAAGACATGCTGGACGGTTTGGTTAAGAAAGTTAGTGGAATTTATAATTTGGGTCTATTACATAGGGTTAATATAAGTTAGTTGATCAAATTAAATGCTAAATAACTTGCGAAATATTAAGCTACTTGTTCGATTACAGATAAGTAATATTTTATCTTACGTTTGTAGAAATACTATTCTCTTCTAGTCACCTCATCATGTTTAACAGTGAAATGAAATTTGAATCAATTGAACATAACTTGAAGAAAAAGATTGTATTTATTTTTGTGTTTTCTAATGCAGGGCTAAAGAGAATAGAAGGGCTGGTTCACTCCTTTGAAGTAGCTCTCGCCGCGCCAATCCTTCGATTTTCTCTAGTGACGTCACTTTGGCGCAAAGCTCGCACTTTTACTTCAAGAACGGAGCGTTTGGCCTTACTAGCTCTAACTAATATTGGATCATTTCTTTTTGCGAGATATTCTAAGACATTTGTTATTTTCTATAATGACTTTCCTCAGTTTTTGCAGTGAATTTACAAGAATTTAAAACTATTATCGAAATGCCAGTTTGCGCGATTGCAACTTGCAAAAATTCTGATATAAAAACAAAAGGAAAAAGTATAATTTTTCGCGTGTTCCCTAAAGTAAATGAACAACTATGTAAAGAATGGATTCCGAAATGACACAGTTAATATAAAACAGCAATACGTTTATTCTGTCGTAAAGAACTTTTATAAAAATTCATTATCTAAATAGAAACCGCCTCGTTACTTCATAAAGAAAGGCAGGTGAAAAGAATTAAAAAATGGATAAAGTCAAAGAAAATTAAAATGTAAATAAAAAGTATAAATAAAATATATAGTATATAGTTGAAATTCTCCTAATTTCATAACATATTTTTTAATGTAGTTATTCTAAATATTTATGATTTTTTTTAAAAATTATATTCTCTTCAATTTAAATATCTATAAATTATATCATCGTAAATTTAAATATCTATAAACAATTGTAAAATTTCTAATGTCATTATGAACCTAAATTATTATTTTGTTTCAGTAATTAGCGTTTAAGGTTGATGTTTCCTAATGATTAAGTATGAACAAATTGCTATTAACGACATATTTTAAAATCAGGGATTCTAAATTTAACTCAACTTATTGTTATAAAAGAATATGTAGATAAAAAAGTGTCGATATATGCTTTCATTTTTCTTAATAATTAAAGTTAAAACTGAACTTTTTAAAATAAAGTATTTATAGTGTCATTTTCGCCAACTAGTAAAATATTTTTATAAGTTTAAAATGGTATTTTTTTAATATAATGGCCAAGAAAGTTTTTTTGAACTATGTTTATGAATGGAAATAATGTGTTAATTACCTAAAGTTTGAAAGCTAATAACCAGAAAAAGTCTAACTTATTTTTACAAAGAGAAAGATGCAAAGATGCATCCTAATATCTTTGCGTACGATCTTCCGAGATCTGTGGACACAGGGACGTCATGAGGTGGGAAATCGTAGCTTCAGTTCTAAGAGCGGGGTGAAATAGCCCTTCTATTATCATTAGCCCTAGGTCTAATGTATATATGGGAAGGCGTTCTGTTCTCTTTATCTGATTCACAGGCTTCAAAACATGAAATTTTCTGTAATAAATATGATTTAAATTACACACTTCATCGCAAGGATTTTACTCATCCCTTACAATAACTCTATATCAAATTATTTTAACATAAAGTTGATTGACTGATTTCTCAGTGTCAGCAATTTTCTTCACTCTTGACAAGTTCCACTGTCAAAATTTTCTACCTTGTTAGCAATTTACACCACTACAAATAAGTTTAATGTTAGGGTTGCTTGTCAACCATATTTAATCGTGATCAAATCCTCCGAGCGCTTTGGTAATGGCTCCGCATTTAAAAACCATAGTAAGCAACTCGTAATTTCAATCACAGTTAGACCACATATTCATCAACGATTGGGTTGGTATTCTGTTTTTCCATCTTCTACACTATAGCAACAGAAAGGTTTCAAAACATGACAGTTTTAACGTGTACTTTTTTCTCGTTTGTTTCCTACATATTCGTTGGTTCGTTGAACTTAAGATCCCTTCTGAGATATTAGAAATATGTTATGAACCGTACTGTACAATTTTTACAACAAAATAGAATCTTTTTTCACAATATTATATAAAAATATTCTACAGTTGTCACATTTTCAGAAAAACATTGATGGATCGAAATAGGTTATTTATACAATTCTAAAAACTTAAACATCTTAACCTTCTACACATATTGATACTCGAATTAAATTTGCTACTCACCAAATATGACTCCCCATAAAAGTATAACTGCTAAAATGTCTTCTGCAAAGAAACAAGCTGCAATGCTTATTGTAGCCAGTATATTTCCAAAAATGACGAGAGATTTCATTCCGAAAATTTGTTGGAGATATCCTTGAAGAGGACCTGGAAAGAGAGTTGTTTTAATTATAAGGAAAATACTGGGTGATTCCTAAAGAAGCATATAATTTTAATGTTCTATAAATCAAGAGCAATGAAAGATATTGTGTGTAACCTGCAACAGAATTGTATGGGATTATTTTAAGTTTTGTTTGGGACAGTGGCAGATGTTCTATGTGTAACACCTTAGTCACACATCTAGCCGACAATCCATTTCCGTCTAAACGCCCAGTAATGTATTCGAATCAAATCTATTGATAATGGCTGTGATATGCTGTTTCAGTAAAGCTGGATTAACAGTGAAGGGGTGAATACTTTGTGCTTTACTTAATCCTACAGGAAAAAATCACAAGGTGTTAGGAGTTAGGTCAGAACTTTTGGGTGGCCTTTGGGAAAGTGGCATGTTGTATTCCGCTGACGACCAGTATGGTGGTGCACCATCCAATTGGATAATGAAGTTGTCAATGTCATCCTGCAACTGCGGCATCAATCAAAGAGTTAACACATCTGGTAATTGTGGCTACCGTGACAGTTTGCTCTTGGAAAAAAAAAAGCGATGAACACTTTCTTTCTAGACGCTGTGCAGAACACATTCCCATTTATCTGTTCCCCAAAAGTGAACTTTTTGCCTGTTTACCTTCTCACTGATATGAAATGTTGTATCATCGATGAAATCTGAGTGAAATATATCATGGATGCACTTGATTCAGATACCTTAACACGAGTTTGGGCTTAAATAGATTATCAGCTCGATCTATGTCGAGGTCACACATAGAACATTATTTTTTTCTTTTCCTTTTTATTCTTATCTTTCTTCCCCATAGAAGGTTCCGGAAGTGTTAATCCTCTTGCTTTTGCCTGGTGATCACCTTGTGACCAAAGTCAATGAGGTGAACAACATTAACCGCGCCACACATACCCGTTTATAGGGTATGGTTCATAGTTCATTCATACGTTCATTCATATATCACGCAACAGATGACAGCACACATAGAGAAAGACCCCTGCCCTGAGCGGGATTCGAACCTGCAACCATTTGCTTCGCATTCAGGCTAGCTAACCGCTAGGCCACCTGGCAGACTAGAGTATTCTAGTACAGTAGAACGTCGATCGATTGTATCTCAAGGGACTAATTCATTACGAAAGATGGATAGAGCATTCTAGTACAGTAGAACGTCGATCGATTGTATCTCAAGGGACCAATTCATTACGAAAGATGAATAGAACATTCTAGTACAGTAGAACCTCGATCGATTGTATCTCAAGGGACCAATTCATTACGAAAGATGGATAGAGCATTCTAATATAGTAGAACCTCGATCGATTGTTTCTCAAGGGACCAATTCATTACGAACGATAGATGCGGGAAAACGATGAATGCTGTCAATTTAAAATATCAAATAAGGCTTTAAAATGTATGAAAAGTGATGAATTTGAAAATTAGTTGATTTATTATTAGGCAAAAATTTCAATTGAAAAAAAAACATGTACTAGATGCAAAAAATTTTACGATTCAAAAAATTGTGAATGCAACATAGTTAAAATAACTGGAAATTTTGGCTTAAATACACCCTTTAGTCTTTATCACAAACAACACATTATAACAGATTATTATTCTTTTCTAGTAAATTCGTATAAATACAAAAAGCTCCTAAATGTTCAAAAATTCTGTGAGGCCTTCCGCAAAAACTTTCACTGATTTTGACCAAGTTTACTTTCTCCATCGGTTCACATTGCACTTATTCAATTTCTTGAACCGACAACACCTCAAGTTTCAACAGTTTCATCAACTATTCCATAGCATTAAATGTGAAGTTTGAGGCATTTTTCCTAAACTGCAATTTCTTCTTCACCATTAGCATCTTCTGAGAACAAATTAACTTCAATAGTTTTTGAAACTATCAGTAAAATTTCTGAACTATAGAGGCGGGAATCTTCTAGTTTCGAAAACGATTTAAACGGGTATTATTAACATTGAAAGAAAAGCATTAGTGACGGTACCATTAAAACAAGACGACACATAGGAATAAACAAAAAATGCTGGAACGATGAATCAAGGTTCGAATGTATTAACCTCGGTATATGGAACGAAAATGTCATTTGTTTCTAACTTGAAAGACTTTCCCTTCGTTTTAAGAGGCATAATTTCCCAAATTATTTCATTACAAATTATAATATTTGAAATAAAATCAGTAAATGCTTGTAAGCTTTTTAAGTACTTACCGCAAAGATTTCTCATCATGTAAGCCAAAACATAAGGGAATGATGCCTGCTTTCGGCTAACATCAAATCGATAAATAGACTCCACAAAAAATACCGACGCAAGTCTTGTTGCCCCGCCATACAGAAAATTTATAGCAAAACAGGCCGTTAAAATTTCGATGCTTGCAATAGTCTCCGCTTTCATGAAGATTACTCAAACCTAATAAAATAAAAATTAAATAGAAATTTAATATTGAATAAATGAATAATCACAATGAAATATGATATTACAATATTATGTATGATCTGTGTTTGATTTGCTTAGAATTAATTACAATGGGAAAATTTTTTTGTTGCATTTTTACAAATAGTTTAACTTGCCTAATATGGGTGTGGGTATTTCGAATCTGAAATTAGTTTTGCATTCCCGGCCATGGATTCCTATGTTATTTTAATCCTGGTGATGTGCCTTAACTCCCTACAGTGTGTGTACCAATGTTTATGCTACTCCCCATTACATACAATGTTTTTTAACTTGTACATTTATATAAAAAAGATAAAAAAAAACTGCAGCTTTAAAAGAAAAACTGATTCCAGATTTGAAATTGGCGATACCTACGATCTGTTAAAAAATCCCATGGAATAGAAAAAAATGTTCTTCAGTGTTATTTACAGTAATAAATCTCAAAGGGTCGTCATTCTATATTATACCCGATTATTATCCTGTATTATCCAGTTTATTCACTTAACTCATGAAAAATTCTCCCTGGATGGTTTGGATTGTTAAATATACATAAAAGGTTGGAACCAAAGAATAAGACCATTATTCCTTTGATGATTGTGGGTCACTGTGGATTAAGTGGAACTGGATAGAAGGGTGCTGGTGTCTTATAATTAAAAGCTAGCTATACACCACTTTGTTCGTTAAAACATCTCATTGAAGAATTATTATTCACCTGGACATCAAAAGGGTTGAACTGCCTCCGAAATTTTGAAATTTTCAGAGCATATTACTTTTTGTGATCTATTTTATTTGTTTAAATTTTTTTAAAAAATTTTTGAGTGCTCCTCACACTATTGTATTAATATATTTTGCTTTGGCTTTATTGATACAATATCGGAAAGCACTTTGCTTAACGGATATAATCGTGTGGGCTGATGAAAAGATTATATCTTTTTTTCCGGTTTTTCAAATGAAATTTTATCCCTTTTTTTTTAAACTGTTGTTTGTTATTTTTTTACTTATTACTTATTATTTTCCCCTTTTTTTCATATGTCTTTAATTTCTCTTTGTTTTATTCTTCATTTTGAACTTATCTAATGGGTTCTGTTTACTTGCAGCTTAAGCGCAATAAATGAAACTTATTGTTTTTCTTAACTTTCTTCGTGTTTTCTTGCATTTATTTTTTCATTATTATTATTATAATATGTATATATATATATATATATATATATATACATATAAGAAAGCACTAAGAAAGNAAAATAAAACTTACAATAAAAGAATAATCACAATAAAACATAGTATAAAAAAACAGGAATAGAATTTCGTATGATCCATGTTTGATTTAGACGCCCGGTGGCTGAGTGGTAGCGCTTCGCGCTCCCGTGCCACAGGTCCTGGGTTTGATCCTCTGACCGGGCAAGGTTGACTCAGCCTTTCATCCCTTCAGTGGGTCGATAAATGAGTACCAAGCATGCTTGGGACTAAACACTCTGGGTTTCGCGTTCGGTTGACCACCTGACCGGAACATCTGCTCCTGCACCCCAGAGCCCAAGGTCAAGAAAACTGAGATGGGCACAGTAGGCCCTGGCCCTCTATGGGCTGTCGCGCCGCTGAGTTTAGTTTTTATGTTTGATTTACTTAGAATTAATTACACTGGGAACAGATTTTTTGTTGCATTTTTACAAATAGTTGATCTTGCCTAATGTGGGTGTGGGTATTTCAAATCTGAAATTAGTTCAGCATTTTCGGCCATAGATCCCAATGCTATTTTAATCCTGGTGATGTGCCTTAACTCCCTACAGTGTGTGTACCAATGTTAATGCTATTCCCCATTACATATAATGTTATAATACATTTATATAAAAAAGATAAAACAATTTATTAAAAAAAACTGCAGTTTGGAGAGAAAAATTGATTCCAGATTTGAAATTAGCGATACCTGAGATCTGTTAAAAAATCCCATGGAATAGAAAAAAAATGTTCTTCAGTGTTATTTAGAGTAATAAATCTTAAAGGGTCGTCATTCTTTATTATACCCGATTATTAGGCTTTATTTTCCAGTTTATTCACTTAACTCATGAAAAATTCTCCCGGGATGTTTTGGATTGTTAAATATACACAAAAAGTTGGAACCAAAGAATAAGACCATTATTCTTTTGATGATTGTGGGTCACTGTGGATTAAGTGGAACTGGACAGAAGGGTGCTGGTGTCTTATAATTAAAAGGTACACCACTTTGTTCATTAAAACATCTTATCGAAGAATTATTATTCACCTGGGTCAAAAGGGTTGAACTGCCTCCAAAATTTTGAAATTTTCAGAGCATATTAATATATTTTACTGGCATCAGTCAAGAGATAGCAATTTTTAGACTTTTAATTCAGCATGAAGGGAAGCCTGAAGAATTGGTGCTATTGTGTGTATATATATATTATATACACACATTGCTTCTAGACCTTGCACTGAGTGATTTTAATCTTTTCCTGTATTTAAAACATCATTTTGGAAGCAATTTTGTAAGCGATGACGAATACTTGAAAACGGCCGTGACCATTTGGTTAATGGAACAGGCGGTAAGTTCATATGAAGAGGGTATTCTAAATCTAGTTGTAAGGTATGATAAGTGTTTAAACATACTTGGCAACTATGCTGAAAAAAAGAGAAACGTATGTAGAATCTGAAAATAAATTTGTTTCTTGAAAATTTTGCTTTCATTTGGTTTATTACATATTTAACATATATTTATTAAATATATGCTAAGGTATTAACATATGTTTATTACATATATTTGGTTACATATTTTACATGATATAGATTTATTTTGTTTTAGTTGCATCGCAGTTCAGTCAGTGTTTACAAGAGTCATGATTTCAAACTGTGTCACTTACAAATATATTTGTTTTAATTAGTATAATTATTATGACTATATAAATGAAATTTAATTAAAATAATTATAAAAAGTAATTAGAAAGCATAAAGCATGTAAACTTATGTTGAACAATATAAAAAATCAGACTGCTTTTCTAATTAACAAAATTGATAAAAACAGAAAATCTTACCTATTTTCTGAATGTGGAGAATCCGTATCTTTATAGATGTTTTTACGTTTGGCAGAAACGAAGAAACAATTATTTAGTAAAACAACCTTTGATACTTAATCATTCAAAGATAGTTCAATAAGTATTAAAAAAAAACGGGAAAAAAGAAAAAAAAAGAAAAGAAAAAAGAATTGCCTTGATGATGCTCGACCTTAGAGAGAAAGAGAGATAACAGTCTATTTGAAGGCCGTATTGATACACTTGTGAACGTGTCTATAGAGCTTACCAAAGCGTGGTTGCCAAGTGACAAAAAATAAATATAAGAAATATTTTAACTGAATATATTATCAGATATCTGGATGTTTTTATTATAGTGCGTTATGCATCGTAGAAACTTCCTTTGAGGAAAATTTAAATATTTATTCCTCCGTTACTTTAACTGCTTGATCTAAAAAAAAAATTTTCTATTTTTTTTTCTATTTTGAATAGAAAATGATTTTAGAATTAAAACTCAAATGATAAATAAATTCTAATTATTTTAAAAAGAAAATAATCTTTTCAAACATATAAATAGAAATAATTATGTTTTACAAATGCACTGTTTAATTGCTTTAAAATATTTTGGTATTGCAAATTTGAAATAAAGTTGCATACAGTTAATTTAATAAATAGCAAGTGAACATCATACATATGAGGGTTAAAAGTTTTGTAGAAAATATAATAAAATGTATAGAAAAATATGAAATTAACGGTTTTCACTATTTTCATATTTTAAAAATACATTGATTTAATAATTAAATTGAACTATCAGCAAATTTTAGCAGTGTAAAATTAGTATAAATTTCAGAAATTTCGTCGATCAATTAAGATTAAAATTCAACAACTAACAATTATATAAACTGCAATGTTAACAACAACTAACATTAAGAAACATAATTGCTAAAATTAACAATTATATTTCGTATTGTAATAAGAATGAAAAGTAAAATGAAAATAAAGGAAATATTTAGAACCGAATGAAAAAATGTATACAAAGCATCTTATTAATAAAATGTTTAGATTGTCTGTCCTTTCTATAAAAAATAAAACTTACGAAATATACATTTTGTAAGTTATCACAGATTTAATTAAGAATTATTCGATATTAGATGATGACTTATAATATTTTTAATAATTTATACAGGATTTACTCAAATTATTAACTAAGTTTCAAATAAACTGTCCTTCAAAACTCTGTTAATCATTTAGGTTAATTCTAGTATTTGGTATTGTACTGCAATATCACAATAATTGGATCAGCTGGTCTGTTTGCAATATTAAATTTTTTTTTGTATACTATTAATAAATATATGTATCAATTTTAATGTGTTCCCCCAATTTTTAACTGCTTACTTAAATTTTCGTAATTTTAAAAATATTTATAATTCGTGTCTTGCTCCATATTTCAATGTAACCCATTATGAAAATTGTAATAAATTAATATTAATTTATAATTATTCTCAAATATCGTGATACTTTTTTATGTTTTTAAATAGTTTATTGATCTTTACTGAACCATTTAATAGGGTTTTATTTTAAAAGTGTTGTCGGTATGTAGATTTAGAAAGTTGGCGTTAGAAATCATAAATAAGGTCCCCGACAATGCCATAAATTTTTTTACGCTATTCCAGAGAGAACATATACTCATCTGGTTCTCGATTTCTTTAGGGTCAGCGGTCTGATGGACCTTGTCTGACTTCGTCAGGCATTTGGAGGATAGGCCACAACAACAACAACAACAGTTTTAGAGAAAATTTAATATGAAATGCCTGTTTATAATTTAATGAGCAGGATATATTGCGCAATATTTCCTAAATAAAGTTTTAAATAATGACAAAAATTTCGAAAATTGTTTGACTAAAACTAAATTGATCTTTAATCATCTTTTAATATACAAAATATGTATTTAAAGCTAAAAACAATTAATAAGAATGAGACGTGACTTTGATTAATCAATTCAAAATCTTTACATTTTAATAACGCTATTCAAATCTTGTCTGACTTCAACTGTTGCGTTAATTTAAATTCAACTGAGATCAACTTAAAGACATCATTGGACAAAATTCTTACCTCATTTATTCCGTCCCTCCAATGCTATATAAGTCTTTTTAAAATTGAGAAGATGCTTAAAGTATGAAGAAATTTATATAGGATTTTATCTTACATATTATATTAGTTCATATAGATGACCATAGAAAAACAGAGAAGGGACACACAATGTTTGACTAATTAAAAAAATTATGCTTGCATTCCATAAAAATACGAACAATACAATATCGGTAATGTTTGCCAGATTAGTAATAGCCTAAAAATCTGAGAGCTATTTTTCTTTGAAAGCTATTTCTTGACTGCTTAAAATAGGTGTATTATCTTAATCTGTATGTTTACAATGAAATGAAAGGAATTACGTGCGTTGAGATCATTAAAAGAACTGAACATCCTTGATACGGAATCCAGTTGAAAACTCTGAATGAAACTGAATCAGAAGATATTAAGAGAGTTTATTCAGTGCAAAGGTTACACGATTTGTCACACAGAAGAAAGAGGGTGCAAAGAATTCAGTTTTCGGACCACAAAAGAACTTTTTTCTTATAATTAATTTTGACAATTTGACATAATTCTAAGACGAAGAACACTTCTTAGACAAGAAGAAAAAATTTTATAATTTTAAAACTACCTTAAGCAAATATTTTGAACGTCTAAAACAGGGCAACAGTTTGAACATAGTTTTAAGGAACAGATTATATTATTTCGGATAAATCAGACTGACGTTTCAATAATTAAGCTAATATTGCTTTAAAGTGGCGAAAATTAACCGAAAAAACAAGTTAAATATTAAGATATTAAATAAGTCGATTCCATTGATTGATATCGAAATAAACAAACTGAAATTCGACAATCAGTGAAATTTATTATTATTTTTAACCGTTAAGTTAGAGTTGTTGTTGTTGTTACATATGGCTTTATTGGAAATATTAATTCATATACAATGCTCAGCTTTAAGCGGAAAAGGAGTAAAAAGGAACAAAATTACATTAACAAAGAAAGAAAACACATGACAAACGTATATTAACACGAAAGGAACACAAAGATAAAAATAAAGTAAAAAAAATTATATATATTCAGGGAAGAATGAGGAGTAGTCTTTACAGAGAGTTCATGTGATCTCTGGCATCTCAGTAAAGTTTACACAGATCACCCCGCTCTTGGGATTGTTTGTCCAGTAAAGGACATACAAGCAAGTGGTCTGAGTTCATGGTTCCTGAATTGCAGATTTGGCATTTACTAGATGGAAGGATACCTATTCTGTTGAGATGCTCTGCCAAGCAGTCATGGCCTGTTGAGAGTCTGAAGTTTGCCACAGCCTTCTTACGAGGACTGTGACAAAATTTCTTCCAACTGTTTTGGATGTTAGCCCAGGGTTTTCCGGTGGATTTTATTGCTTGGTTACGCTTTAGGTCGGTCATAATTTTCTCGAAAAATTGTTTTTCAAGGGAGTCTGGTGGAATTGGTTTATTACATTGGGGTTCGAGTGTTCCTTTCTTGGCTANGCACTCACTAGATGGAAGGATACCTATTCTGTTGAGATGCTCTGCCAAGCAGTCATGGCCTGTTGAGAGTCTGAAGTTTGCCACAGCCTTCTTACGAGGACTGTGACAAAATTTCTTCCAACTGTTTTGGATGTTAGCCTAGGGTTTTCCGGTGAATTTTATTGCTTGGTTGTGCTTTAGTTCGGTCATTAGTTTCTCGAAAAATTGTTTTTTAAGGGAGTCTGGTGGAATTGGTTTATTACATCGAGTGTCCCTTTCTTGGCTAGTTAGAACTAAAATGAAGCAAAAGGAAATACGTATATTTTTCTATTAAAATTCTTAAGAAATGTTAATTGATACTCAATTAAAAGTTAATTTTTTAATTGAAAGATTTTGTGGAAAGCTGAAAATAGTTTTTAAACATTTTGTTTCATATCTAATTGAAGATATTCAATATTTGTTATCATCTTCATATCAGTTATGTTCGCCATTATCACCACAAAAATTGAAGAAAAAAATCCGAGCTTTTTTTAGGTTTAAATTAATACTAAAGATTACAAATAAAAGTTTAATTATGTTTTTGTTTCAATTCGCAATTGTTGCTTGGTTTCAATCCTTAATTCTTATTTTGTTTCGATTAAATTTGATATGTTTACTTATGTGTTCACGTTCTGTATATTAGATTATTCCGTTTATTAATTCAAAATATTAGTTGTGCAAGATAATTTCACTATGAGCTTCTCCAAAAATTGAGAAATTAAACAATGAGCAAATTGAAAAATGAACAGTACTTTAAAATAAATTTGTTATTCTTCTAATAAATTCAAATTAAATATGCTTTAAGTGCTCTATAATGTATATAGATGATTCTTTTTGAGTTTATAAATGTCCCAACGATCTTTTTTGTTTTGCCTGAAATATTTGTGTGATGATTACATAAAATTGCGTCAAAGAAAATTCTTAAAAATGATAATAAAAAAATATGTTCCTTTAAATAAAACCTTTTATTCTTTCTCATACAAATGTACATTTTCACTGACATAAACACTTTTCATAACTTGGTAGACATTTTTCCTCTATTAGCCAAACGTGGTATGAAAAAGGTTAGGATTCCGCAAAAAATAGACATGGCAGCCAGAGTATAAAAAACACCATCGTATGATCCACCGCTACCTCTGAAATAGCCTGAAAAATCAGTAAAAAATGTAGCAAGCATTTAAAAAGTTATATTACGCCCACAAAAGAAACTTATCACTGATAGAAAGTTGTCAAACTCAGGGTTTTTACCAATCTTTTCGGGAATAAAGATTAAAAAAACGTGGGCATTTATTATAATTTTAAGCATTTGCATTCTTTTTTTGAAGAAAATAAATATAATTTTTATAATTCCGCCACCAGATTATTCTTTTTTTGTTCTTAAGAGAGAAAAACGTGTTGGTTGCTCATACGAGTCCTCGCAGATTTACATTACATAAAAGCGTGCAGTTTATTAGTTGTTTTAGACCTATTGTTATATTTAAAAATATAAGTTTAACTGTGATCCATGTTATTGCTACCTTAAAAAAATTGCGGTGTAAATATGCTGCAATCTGAATACATGTGCTAAATTGGGCCATAGTTATGGGGTAATTAAATTTAAGACGTACAATACTGCTGTTCTGAGCCGTGATGGCTCAGGGGATAGATCATTCGCCTTCCAATGAGGTGAACCGGGTTCGAATCCCCAGCAATGGCTGGTCGAAATTAATCCACATCCGGCTTGTTCCGACGACCACAGTGCCGATGTGAAATATCCTCAGTGGCAGGCGGATCATGGGTTAGAGTCCCTTTTTCATCAGGTTAACCGAGGGAAGTTCTCTTGGTCTTCCTCTCCATGTAACGTAAATGTGGGTTATTTCCATCAAGAAGTCCTCCACAAAGGCAAATTTCTCCCAATAATTGATCCAGGAGTTCTATTGTCTTCTTGAATTGGGTTCAAAATTACAAGGCTACGGAGTTGAACATTAGTAGTCGTAAACCCCGTGGGTCTGCTGTTCAATGACGGTTATAAAATTATAAAATAAAATAATGTGGCTCAATAGAGTGTGCTACGATGGTAGGTACAATGATGATTGTCATCGCAAAAAAATATTAAAGGTTGTAGCAAATTTGAAGAATTAAATGAGTGCAACAGTCTGCAAAATTTGTAACAATGTATTTTGCACATTCTCAGTTTTATGATATTTTGGATTATTGGTATTTTTCATAAAAAACAATTGATTTTTTTTTACCGAGTTTTTAATAATTATTTTAGACATTTACAATCATATGATTTGGAAGACGTGGAGAAAACATTACGATGTGTTAAATTTTGTATATGTTCAGGCATATTTTACCTTAACGGTAACATATGCCTGAAAAAAAGTTATATACATTATATACAAAAGTTACATTATATTCAAAAAAATTGAATATAAAAAAGACATGGTAAATTAACTATATTTAAATGTGTAAATAACTTACCAATCATTGGAGCAGTCGTTAAATTTAATGGCGCATATAAAAGGCCTCTACAGACCATAGCCATTGTCTTTTTACTTGTTTCAATGTACTCCTGAACCAAGGCGATTTGCAGAATCATAATGGATCCAGAAAATATCGGAAATAAGAACTCAACAAACATCAGTAGGATGTAATTATTTGAAAACAGCATGCCAGTCAACGTTAATGCCTGCCCAATGAAACAAATGGTGGTCAGATTGGGACTTTTCAAAATTTTCTTGTCAATCACAAATCCTGACGCAATGCGTGCAACTAAATCTGCTATTGGTAGTAACATGACGTAATATATTTCTAGATTTACTGGAACGTCTTTGTCTCTAACAAAATCTAAAATTATAGTCCATAAAGTTGTCATTGCAAAGGCACTGCCAGCATTGGTAATAAGCATAGTTATAAATACCGGGTCCACGAAGATCTTGAAATTCTTGAAAGTAAAATTATTCTTTTTTGCAATTTTCCCAGAATTCTCGTCTGGATTTGGAACACCATTTAATTCAGTTAATTTTAGTTTCTTTGGCTCATATAATGTAAAAACTGAACTTTTCTTTGTTACATCGATCTGTCTTTCATCTATTTCACTTTCAACAAAATTTATTGTCGATGACGGAGGCTTTATATTTTCCAATTGTTTGATATTTTTCTTTTCGACATTAATGTTCTTTTTTTTGTCTCTTGGATTTTGAAGTAGTAAGCTGGCGGGTAAAGAGTGCGCCATAATGGCAGAAAATATAAGAAAACAGCCAGAAATGCTATAATTATCTATAAAGAATTTCATTAACTGCGGAAATATAATTCCGCCAACACATGCTCCGGCAAATGATATACCATTCATTTTATTACGATTTTTAGAGAAATATGTGTTTATAATCAATGGCAAGAATTGAGTACTAACTGAGAAGCTGATTCCTAAAAGTAAAAAAATGGATACATTTTAAAATTATATGAAATTGAGATTAAAAATATTTATACATTTTTTTAAAAGCTTATGAAAATTTTTATTACTTTAGTCATTTAATATTACTATTCATTTTTAAAAATTTTTCATTTTGGCAATTATATATATCAAAATGAAAATTTTTGAATATATTATATACTTTACCAAGTAGGATGCCGTAACAAAGTATTACGATCAAAATATCTTCTGTAAAGAAACAGATTCCAATGCTTATCGTTCCCAGCAAATTTCCTAGGATAATCAACGATTTCATTCCAAATATTTGTTCAAGATATCCAATAAATGGACCTGAAATTAAAATAATTATTAACCCATTTTCCGTTCAATATCTCACCTAATAAAAGATCTTTCAGTTAATTACTGGAACTTAGTTTCTCAATCTCTTCCGCTGACTGCGAAGTAGCATTTTACTGCCTTAACTGGTTCATATCATATATCTTTCGTGGTTTTGATTTTATTTGTTTCAATAAATATCCTCCAAATGTTTAAAGAATTACCGATTCTGTCGTTTTAACCTGTCTCAATAGAAAAGTCTTACTCAATAACGGGAAATTCAATACTCCTTTTTAATTTAATATAGTTCATTTTACGAACAACTCTACATTTTGTAAGGCAGGCATACATAAATCATTCGATTGTCTGCAATAAAATAAAGAACTATTAATCCTATCTTGGTTCAAATAGCAAAAAAGATTTAGAAAATGCTGGAAATCTCATTAAAATAGTAGTTTTTAATATTAATCTGCCTGTGTGTTTGTCATACCCGATCATGCTAAGACAAATAGGCGAGAGTGGGCTAAGGTTGTGGGGTGAAACCCAGATACCTCGATTGTGTCGAAACCGATTCATTTTTTTAGCGGACAAACTCTGAATTATCCTTTACTTGTTAAAATGAAAGATTTACCACATTCAAGTGTTGTTGATTAATTTACGGGGTCTGTGTAAATAAATTTGTCTTACTTTGCCAACTCTCTATTCTTTTGCTTTTAAACTAGTCATATTTATTGGTCATTACAGTTTCAAAAATTATTTTTAGTTCAGATCATTATGCGTTTACTAAAAATTCACATCTTAACAAATAATAAGGATTTGATAGCGCTTGCTCAGTTACCTTTCGATAACTTCTGCTCTTGGGTTAAGACCGGGTTCTACCTAGTTTCGCTCCCCACCCCCTTAATGTGATTCTATGCTGAGCCCACAAAAGCTGCAGTGCAGCAAAGGAAGAAGATAACTACATGCCAAGGCTGAACACAAGTTTTAAGTTTCTCATGTAAAAAGCATTATTTTCATATTTTATAGAACCGTTTATACAGGATTATAGCTTTTATACAGATATAAATTCTCTGTAGCTATATATTTTTTTTAAACTAATCAATAAATACTATATTTTTCGTAAGAAATTTTGGTCGAGCTGTCCCGGGTCCCGTGACAATTGTACCTTTCATCTTGAGACTGCTTGGACTACATCACATGTAAATTACAAGCATAATTTTCTTAAATTGTCATATAAAATAGAAATGTCTGCTAATTTTTCACTTAAATTCTAGTATTTAATATTTTCGCATAGAATATTACATGTGTACCGTGTCTTATACTACTAGTGAAGTAATTTGACTTTTTCTAAAAAAATAATCATTTGTAAAAAAATTAGCACACCAATAACTTTTCAAGAATGATATATTGTACACAATTAAGCAATAAGTATCTTGATTAAATCTGACAGTTTTTAGGTCAAACAATTTAGTTCCAACAGGCCATCGAAACTTAACTACCCGGTTTTACCCCCTATATATGTTTTTATTGGCTATTCAATCTACAAATTCATTTAGAGTAAGAATGTTCCAGAAAAGAAATATTTAAATGAATGCATGCATCACGAATAAATCAGACTGTGTCTCGTGGGTTCTCCAGATCAGCATTTTGCTTCTTCAGTTTAGCATTTCACCTTTTGTTTTGAAGAAGTAGCTATGATTTACTCCAACTTTTACTTGTCAACAAGATTATTTTAGCATCTACGTCAAGCCTAAAGGAAGTCGTTTTCAGGAAAATGAGGTGAGAATTCACATCATTCGTGCATCACAATGGCACATTATTTTATTTAAGCTTGAGTTGAAAAATGAATTTTATTTTTTTACTAAAGACCTCCAATTCCAAACTTAGAATACAGTTAGTATTATATATCAACCCTTAAGTACATAGTAACTCAACAGTGACGTAGCTAGTGGGTGGTAAGAGAGACATCTGGCGCCAAATGTATGAAAAAATAATTGAAGAGGAATTCCCAGCATAAAATTCTTTTCTCTTTAAATATCCTCAGTTTCACTTCCTAATTACGGGTTCCATAACCTTTCAAATATTTACACAATTTAACTAAAATACAATATGGCAGTTTGCTTTGTATGAAGTTTTCTTTTTAAAATTATGATGAAATACGTCTTTTGGAAAATTTTTTTTATCAGAAACAATAAACGGAATCAAGAAAATCTAAGTGTAATCGAAGCTATATTAGTAACATATGCTGTTAGTTTTAAATAGAATCGGAGGAAAATATATGAAGTTGTGGAGGTACATTAAGGTCTGGTTTCTTAGGATAAGCGCCTTATCTGGGCGTCAGCGGGACGTCAACATCCCGCTGACGCCAATAAAATACTGTTTTGTTAGCTGAAGGACTGGTTTCTTAGAACTAGCGCCTTATCTGGGCGTCAGCGGAAAGTTGACGTAGATGTATTTGTTTTTATATATTGNTGTTAGCTCAGCGTGAGCAGTCGGTCCAACACAGACATTATCTCACATTGCGCAAGCGTTAATAACGTAAACAAATATTTATTTTGAATTTGTATTGATTTTGTTATTGTCGACTAGTGCTTTAGAGAGAGTTCAAGATGAGCGTTTGCAGTTCAAGATGAGCGTTCGATGACGTATACTATCAAACTCACAAATGGACCAATCAGAGGTTAGCGCTGATTTCCAGCTGACGGCGTCCTGTCCTAAGAAACCAGGCCTTTAACTTAAAAAACATAGCGTAACGTTGAAAATTATTATTCAATGTAAAATCAAAAAGGAAAAAAAAACAATTTAAACTGTGCTGGATTTAAATTAGGACATTATACAAAATATAAAATCGTTCCGGAAAAGCCTCCTTTCAGACCTACTCAATATTGCGCACAAGCTGAGTTAATACTCGGGCGTCGACAAAAAATGTCACTTAACATCTGTTACGATAGAATGATTTAACAAATAAAAATGTGTTCTTTATCTTACCACAAACTCCTCTCACCATGAAGACCAAGGTGTATGGAAGAGATGCCATCTTCCGATCCACATTGTAATAGACTATTGATTCCACAAAGAAGATAGAAGAAAGTCTACCTACTGCCCCATACAAGAGGTTTATAACGAAGCATGCTATGAGGATTTTACATTGTTGAACAGTTTTTGCTCTCATGTAGAACAATGTTTATCTAAAATTAAAGAAAAAAAAACGAGAGAACTAAAAAATCGATTTCTAAATTTAATTAGGATGCACTTGAGAATTAAGGAATTTTCAAACCTTCGTATTAACTTTTTTAAACTAACAGCGTTTTTAAAAAAACAATAATTTAATAAAAATGTGGCGTAACTACCACTACAAATGTTAAATAACAAATCACTAGTATATAACACATGCTATCATGATTCTATCATGAGGTACCTCTTGATAGATGAAGGTTGACATAGTCGATAATTAAATCTCCCACATTGGTGACCCGGACGTGATAAGAAATTGTCAATATTGATGGATGAATCCACATTAAACAGTTGATTTGCTTAAAAAAATATACTGCTCAAAGAAAAAAAGAAATCCGGTGAAGTAAATAAAGTCTCCCGGTTAATAAATAATAATGAGCGAAATGCTATAAAAAAATAATAATAGCGAAAAGCTATTAAAAAAAATAACGAGCGAAATGCTTGGAAGAAAAAAATAATATAATGAGCAAAATTAACTAAATATAATACAGCATGAATCAACTTGTGGTAATCGTTCATCGAATTCTATCACAGATAAAATTCTGGAAGGGGAGTAATGTGGCGTAACTACCACTACAAATGTTAAATAACAAATCACTAGTATATAAGACATGTTAACTTGATTTTATCATGAGGTACCTTTTGATAGATGAAGGTAATAAATAACCATTGATTCAAACTAGGGCTAGGTCAATCATTGATGTATCATTGGACCAAGGTTAACTNTTTCAAACCTTTGTATTAACTTTTTTAAACTAACAGCGTTTTTAAAAAAACAATCATTTAATAAAAATGTGGCGTAAGTACCACTACAAATGTTAAATAACAAATCACTAGTATATAAGACATGTTAACTTGATTCTATCATGAGGTTCCTTTTGATAGATGAAGGTTGACATAGTCGATAATTAAATCTCCCACATTGGTGACCCGGACGTGATAAGAAATTGTCAATATTGATGGATGAATCCACATTAAACAGTTGATTTGCTTAAAAAAAATATACTGCTCAAAGAAAAAAAAGAAATCCGGTGAAGTAAATAAAGTCTCCCGGTTAATAAATAATAATGAGCGAAATGCTAGAAAAAAAAATAATAGCGAAAAGCTATAAAAAAAAAAATAACGAGCGAAATGCTTGGAAGAAAAAAATAAATAAAAATATAATGAGCAAAATTAACTAAATATATTACAGCATGAATCAACTTGTGGTAATCGTTCATCGAATTCTATCACAGATAAAATTCTGGAAGCGTAACTACCACTACAAATGTTAAATAACAAATCACTAGTATATAAGACATGTTAACTTAATTCTCTCATGAGGTACCTTTTGATAGATGAAGGTAATAAATAACCATTGATTCAAACTAGGGCTAGGTTAACTAGAAAGTTACGATTGGATATAACTTCAAAAAAAACGAAAAGCTCCAATAAAAATTTTATTTTCAAAATCAATACATTACTTTAATTTTCAAGACAGTTGCCGTAGCTGTCAAGGCGTAGCTATATTTTACTGCCTAAGATTTGAACCATGACGTAACTTCTTGTTAAAGTTCTTCGATGTTTGCTGACCATCCAAAAATGTATTCTTCAGAAATTCACCAAGTAATAAGTTACATGGCTAAGACATAGAAATAGGAAAAATCGTCTTTTTGCTACACAATAAGTACCTTGATAACTGAGGCTACTACATTGAAAAATAGAATAATGTACCGTGACTATGTAAATAAAGTTTTGAGTTGATATTTTTTGTTTTTATTTAGTCAGGTTAAAACACGACATTTAACATGGTGTCATGATGAAATTACCAAATTTTACCAAAACCATATTTTATTGTTAACCGGTGAAAACTACAGAGCTTTTTGGTGTTCCCATAGAGCCAGAAACACCGTAAATTTGACCAAATTGTGATAGTTTTGACCATACTTCTTTATCTGGATAAAAAAAAATTTAAAAAAAAACGTTTTTTTAACAGCGTAAACAAAGCAAAGCATTTCATACAATGTTAATTTATCAAAGAGCATGACATACAGCTGTACACATATCATTTCGTGCAATATTATTATATCAAAATAGTATTAAGTACAGTTTTATTGGAACAAACAGCCTTACTTATAATATTATTGAATTGCATTTCTTTACATACCTTTTCATCGAACCAAATATATTCCTAATTTTATGTTCAATTGCGTAGTGGAGCACTTCCTTAGAATAGTAAGCAAACAATGTTACTAACTTATCATATTCATATATCCTCTAAGTATGTTATATGATATATCGATAGTTAAAAACAAAAAAAAAGCACTAAACGTAAAAGTTCAATTTAATCGTAACTGTTTCCTATGTAGTACATTATTAGAATGCGACAAGAAAAGTTTTCTTTATCATAAAAATAAAGTGTGTTTTTAAATCTAAAATAAAAAACACTCCACATCCTAATCGATGTTAGATAAATTTACAAGAGGGAATTCTTATTTTTTCAACATCAAACAATGATAGAAGATACATATTCAGTTGCGTTTCACAGTCAAACCTTGGCGTTCTTTTGTCACCCCATTATTTACTTTTTATTTATAGAATGTCATAGAGAGATCGAGAAAAAATGTCATGAAAGAATATATTTATACAATCTAAATATCGATGCTTTTGAAACAAAAATTTTATAACTCACTTGATATTATACATGATATATATACTCCAAATTGCGCAATTGAAGAAAAGATCGTTTCTGATTTTTTGCAACTATTCAGATTGAACAGCTCAGTTTTTCTTTCCATTTTTTTAGTGTACTATTTAGTTTCTTGAACAAATTTGTTTTCTTTCTCATTATAAATTTATTTTAATCATTTTTATATTATAACACATTCTTTTCTCAAGTACTATTTGATTTAGATTATCTGAAGTTGTTGGAATCGGACTTATTTTGGATAATCAAAATATTTATAATATTGAGGTAAAATTGTTCTCTACTCTATTTTTATCAATTATTTTTAGATAACGGTCTTTATAGTATTTAAATTTAATTTAAAAAAGACCATTTAATAAATGCAGAATCTACTTCTGAATCTTTAGTTGATTTCATCGATTTTTGACGACGATGATTTACTTTCCATTGTAAGTTTTTTAAAACTTTCTTTAAATTCCATTACATAATGGTATTATATTTTTCTTGAACGGATAACATAACATGCTTTCTTTTAAAGATAGTGAAAGCTTTAATGATTTATCTAAACTACGCTAGTAATAATAAACAGACAGCTGAAACAGCAAAAATTACAACTTTCAAGTTTCATCCCCCCCCCCTGCAAAAAAAAGAAAAACCTCCAACTAATTTTAACAACTAACAAAACGAATCAGTAACATTACCATTACTGTTTTACTATCATGAGAATAGAAATAAACGTAAGAGGCATAAATTTCTTTAAAAAAAATCTTACTTGAATTCTGTTTTAGTTTAATGGTAATGTTAGATTACTGAAATTTTCGGTGTTTATGACTCATTATCCTAAATAAGGCTGACCGTTTTTAAAAAAGTTTGTTTTTGCAGCAAATGTACGTGACAGGACATAAATTTTTTCCTCCAAAGATCCTGTTTTATTTCAAATATTTTTCAAAAGATCAAGGAATACAAAGCAAGGAAAAAAACCGGAAAATTCTATCAAAATTTTTGCGAAATTTTATTCGCGATGGCGACGCTTGAATAAGCCCTCTAGCGGAGAGGACATTTTAAGGCTTTTATTTATTAAGTTTTCAATTAGTTCTATCAGAACCATTGGTAGATTAAGAGTTTTTTTTTTCAGCAGCAAATAAGAAGCAAAATTTCCCTAAGAAAAAGGCACAAGAACTTGAAAAAACAACCCACAAAATCATTCGGAAACAGAACGCGCCCAACATTTGAAGAACAATTTCTCAATAATTTTTTTCTTTTATCAGGCTTGCTACTGATAACTTCCGATTTCGTGATCGCACCCTGTTCAAGATGTGTGTATTAAGGTAAAATACATATTTTTGTCTTCAATTCATTATAAACTAGTGGGCTGCGCCCTCTGCTCGCTAACGCTCGCCAACCCCCGAAAAAAGCTACGCAATCTTATATGGTTTGCTTCGCAAACCAAGCTCGCTTCGCTCGCTACTAACTTAGATACATTGCAAATGCACAAAATTCTAAGAATTCAAAAGAGTCATTCAAATCCATATAAAAACTTTTTTAAAAAAAATTACATCTTTTTAGTAAATACTAAGTCATTAAAATAAATTTGAATTCAAATAAATGACATGCAATTCGTTAAACCTATTAGAAATGTGCTATAGTATAATTCGTGATATAAATCAAAAATCGTCAAATAAATTCGTAATATATAAATTCGTGAAAAAAAGCGCTTTCGATAAAATACTAAAATAAAGATCTATCGACAAAGACTACTCATTTCTGCCTAGCTTAATATTATGAGATTGCCGCAGCTGATGCTCTCTGGTTACTTCAATTTCCGTTTTTAAAAGCGCTATATGTTGAGCCACGTCACCTAGATTTGTCATGTGACATTTTTTGCGGCAATCATTGGTCGATTTTCTAGCGTTGCCATTCGGCGAGTTGTAATGAGGTTTTTTTTGTAGCTTTGTAAGAGAAATAATAACGGAAACAAAACAAAGCAATCGTTGCCACCGACGGAAAAGAAATACAGTCAAAATTTGGGAGCCACGTAAGAGAATTATATATATTAGACCAGAAGCACATCATTAAAAGGCNCGGTAAAATACATATTTTTGTCTTCAATTCATTATAAATTAATGGGAAATTATTTAAGTCGTCATTGCTTTCTTCATTCCAATGAATAAATGTGATTTCAACGTGAAGAACTGTAATAGTTATAGAATATTCTTCTTTTTATAGAATAGAATATATTTCTGTATCTATATCATTCGGAAAACAACAACAAAGAATCATTCGAATTATTTATCATTTGTGTTAATTATTAATAATTTTTTATCATTTTCTTGGTAAGTATTTCTTTTTAATTTTGAATAACTAATATCAACTGGAATTCAGCTATTCTGTTTTGAAGTTACATTTTGAAATTCATATCGAGATCTTACAATTATAAAATTGTATTGCGTGATTTGTAATCTGTAAGTAATGAAGGGATAATCTATGCATATATAATTTGAGAACAATACTTTTAAACTCCGGATTTATAAAGCGAATTCTCCGGATTTACAAGGGGTATAAGTGTTATGATTTTTGTAATAAAAAATTTATTTGCAAATAATTTTTCTTCTAATTTGATGATAGTCCTCTAAAGAATGGTTTTCTATGTGTGATTCAAAACTTTTAGACTAAAAAGAAGAAAACAAATATTAAATTTTAATATGAGGAATTTTTTGGCTTTTTTTTTTAAATTTTTTTTTATCGCAAACATGTTTTATTTTACGTTTATTTGTGTATAAATAATGATTTTTTCTTCTTGATACTTTAAATTTTTTGATAAAAATTATTGTCAAGAAACTTTTTTTTTGCAAAATTAAATGATATAACATTGTGTGTCTGCGTATACTTCTTGCATATTTTAATGTTTGAAGTACTATGATTCAGAAAAGTATGGAATGCAAAGTTTAAATAGACCTTTCATACAAGATCATTAAATTTAGTAGAGCGATTTTACGAGCTTTCGGTTTCAACTCTAATAAGAAAATAAGATATATATTTTTTTCTATTTATTTACGATTATTTTTTCGATGTGTTTGGTATGTTCCTTCTCAAAAAAATAGAGATTCAATTTTGTTTTCGCTTGCATAAGAAAGAATATCAAAGATTTATATTTTTCTTTTTTTAAATAAGCCACAATAAAGATGGAACGTTCCCATGCTACACTGAAGAAATTTCCAGTTCAAATGATGATCATGTTTTTCTTCTAGCAGTCACTCGTCTCAAATAACAACACTTCCACAGGTCGTTGCGTTCACGAATATTGAATGAAAATTGCATAACGATATTTACGGAAACTCCACCATCAGTCTCAAACTCAACCGTCGTATTCCGAAGACTATTTTTAAAGGCAATTCTCACTGCATGCTAAAATATCACGGATACAAATTCATAGATGTGAACGAAAACTTGATTCGCAATCGCAACGCTCGAATACGCCATCTGGGGAGATTTTTTTTTTTTTTTTTTTTTTTTTTTTTTTTTTTTTTTTTTNTTACTTGTCAAAAATATTTTTTAAGACTTCAATGACGTTTTTTTCTTTTTTTTAGACGTTTTTTTTATTTTTAGTTTAATATTAATTTGTTCTATATAGTTTCTTAACTTAAAAGTTTCTAATTTATTTGAAAATTAAGACAACTAACACACTTCCTTTTCCTATGACTTTCCACATGCTAATGGTAAAAATACGCGAAGTGCTGCCATAGGTAGAGAGTTCTGCTCTCCGCCACCTGTAGCCCATTTCGATCGCCAATTGACGATTTTTTTTTGTGGGTAAATGGGAACGCTTCCTATTATATACATCACAACCCAACGCGGAAAAAAAACCCGGTTAAAGAGACTTGCAGCGTCATCTGTCAGAAAACTTTCAAACTAAAATTACGAACTTCGGGAAAAATTTAATACATTGCCTTATGTGACCAGATTTCTAAACCAGGATTTGGAAACAAATCAGCGGAGTGTCGTCGAAAATGTTCCTGATTCGACAACACCCGTATCTTTGGAGAAAATATTAATATATATATGTGCAATAAGGATTTTTTAAATGGATAATGTTCTATTTTGTATGTATAATACAATCAATTGTAATTTTTTACAATTATTTGGTGCAAAGCTACCTCAATCAAGCTTGACTTCATTACTAAGCAGTTTTGAAAAAAACATTTATATTCTGCAATTGTTTAAGACAAGTAAAATGAATAAATATCATGGTTATCAAAATTTGTGTATCTTTTGCTCAAATTATTTTTTCACGAGTATGGAGTTTTTATTAGTTAGTCTTAGCATGATGTTTTTTAGATTTTTTGCTTGCATTCTCTGTAAGATAAAATTATTTTGTTTAAAAGAACATCATATCTGATTTTTTTAATATTTCACTGCATATAAAAAAAGACGAGTTGTTTTCAAAAAAATTCGAGAACATTTGAAGACATGCGTTAAGATTTTGAGCACATTTTCCGACCCCAAAGAAATTGCAAGTTCTTAAATACGATTTAAAAAATTCGAGGACTGTTTTCAAGATTGATAAAATCTAGTTTGAAGCAAAAGTTTAAATTATTTAATTTTTGTGCCAATTAATTAGTCATTGCTTTATTTTCTACGATAAGCCAGCCTAAGAAAATATTATTATAAACCAATCTGGATTGTTTTGCTCATTTCTTCCAGAAACAGTGTGGATCTATTTAAACTTACAGGTTGTATAGAACGCTAAAGATTTCATCAGTTTATCAGTGGATGTGGCGAAGTCCATTTCGATTACAACTTGATAAAAAAGAAGATCAATTGATCAGTTATATAAAACGTTTAAAAAATTATCTGTTTTGTAAAAAAAAGTTATCTGACTTATGCTTCGCTCAATAAATCTGCATTGTAATTGCATGACAATTCAATGTACAGCCAGTTACTCAGCTAAGAAAAAAAAACAATCTTAATATATTTAAAACTTATTGTTTGGATAATAAGTTACTGAAAACAGAATTTATTCAATGATTATTTACAATAGCAAAGCCTGATGGAGTAATATTTCTTAGCTCTTTACTCTTCATTTTAAAGATTATTCTGTTTTAAAAAAATAGTTTATTATTTTGTTTTATAAGAAAAGCATCATACTTTGTTGGAATAATATTTCTTAGCTCTATGTTATGCAAGAACATTATTTTGCTGTATAAAAATTGTTTAGTTTTAGATCTTTTTAACAATGCATCCCCCATTGTTGGAAACTTATTTCTAGATCGCTTCAATGCAAACGTAATATTGTTGTGTTGAATAAAAAAAGTTCTGTTTCAGACATTTTAGCAGAACATTATCTATTGTTGCAATAATAATTGAATAATAAGTCCATCTTATGACAGCCAAAAATATAAGATTGCTGTATAAAAATAGTTTTGTTTCAGATAATTTTAAAAAAGCATGATCCATTGTTGCAGTAGTATTGTTAGATATATACCATGCAAGCAGAATATTATTTTATTGTTTAAAAAAAGCTTTGCTTGATTTTATTTTAACAAAACACTTCCATTGCTGGAAAAATACCTTTCTCTTAATGCCTGCAAGCAGAGATTTTTTTTGTATAAAAATAACTGTTTTGAGTCCATTTAAAAAACGCCACCCATTGACTTGTCGGACTTACAGTTAGTAAGATTACAATTTTTAAAATAGTTCTATCACCTCATGTTGATTTCAGAATTACCTCTTTTCTTCAGATAAGGGATAAAATATGCTGAACATCCACAAAACAATGAAACTCCACTGAGAACATAAAATACGTTATCATAAGACCCATTATCTCCTCTGAAATAACCTAGAATAATAATGATTTAAATTAACATAAGCAATTATTTCAAAATAAAAACTCAATAATTACACCTTAATATTGTCATGAGAATGCTTCCTGCTTATGCGAGCATTAGTTTTATTAATTACTTCAATTGTACATAGTGAGTTATAACGGTTGTACGGAAGTATAATGGTAGGTACAGAAGAAGCCGTGATTGTACAGCAATTACTATTTACAATTTAAATTACAATCGTACAATTGCCAGTAATTTGTACGAGTCTTGCAGAAAAAATTAATGTAGAATAAACAGACTGGTGATCAACGATAGCTTTAAAAGCTCCCCATAATCAAATAACTATGAATTGAGTCGCTCAGAAGCCAATGCAGTTAAGTCCAAAACACAAAAATTGAGAAAATTAATGTTTTTTGATACATTAGTTTTTAAAATTCTTGGTTTATTAATTTAATTAGAAAAGTGTATAAAGTCTTTTTTCGAG